TACTGTATAGAAAAAAAGATGCATCAATAATCATTTTATAATCGCATCGCAGCCTCTGAATCGTAATCGGATCAAATTTTTTTTTTTTGGGGAATCTCTGCTGTTTTAGGCCTTTTTCACACTTGGACTGTTTCGGTGTCTGAAGTGGAGTCAGACTGCTGGGAATCATGTTTTGCATATGTGAACACGTCCAATGAACTCAGACCCCCAAAAAAGAACCGAATACAGATCACCTCTCGAGTATGATTGCTTTTTAGTTCGTTTTGTGGTCTGATTGATTTGTGTATTGTGAAAACAAAATGGTCCCAGTCCACTTTGTTCCAGCACTTTAGTGGGTAAAAACTACAACCCCATTTCCAAAAAGGTCGGGACGCTGTGCAGAATGTAAATAAAAATAGAACGCAACAATGTGCAAATCATGTAAATCACATTTTTAAAGGAAAATACTACAAAGACAACATATCAAATGTTGAAATTGAGAAATTTTATTGTTAAATATTTGCCCGTTTTGAATTTGATGCCAACAACAGGTTCCAAAAAAGTTGGGACGGGGGCCTGTTTACCACTGTGTTTCATCACCTCTTCTTTTAACAACACTCTGTAAGCGTTTGGGAACTGAGGAGACACTGCTGTAGTTTAGAAAGTGATACAGGATTTCAGCTCCTCAACAGTTCAGGGTATTTTTAATTTCATAATGCACCAAATGTTTTCAGTGGGTGGTCTGGACTCATAAAGGGTCATAAAGTTTAAATGTTTTCAACTTTTGTGCGATGCACTTCCGTTTTATCAGATATCAGCGGCCACTTTCAAGCCTGACTTTCGACCGCTGTGAGTAATGTGAAAGTAGCTTAAACCCCATAGCCGAAATGAAATGACCACAGACTCGAGAGGTTTGTTGCTTTAATTAAATGGTGACAAAAATTCTAATATATGGTGTAATAAATACAGTGTTCAATAAAAAAAAATTTAGGGTGAACGTTGGTGGCTGTTTAATGGTTTTTAATAGCTTGGTACTGTTAGAGTATTTTGCCATGGGCTCAAACATATACGCTGAACAACGCTGTCCAGAATTCGACATTTCCTAGGTTGGGTCTGAGTTCTAAAGAAGTTATCTGATCTGAGATCTCATCAGTGCTAAAGAGGACCAGAAAGAGAACTGAGTCCTAAAAAGTTTGCTTATATTGTGAACACAAAAAGCACTGAGGTCATTTGCAGCCGGTTCCCTTTCAGGTTCACTTTAACAGAACTGAGTTTGGTTCTTTTAAAATGAGTTATATGTGAAAACACCCGTAGCTTCAATGGCCGCGTGGAAAGCAGTGTAGTGATGAGGATGACTGGAATGAATGTATGATCAATCAAACCAGCTATAACTTACTTTTTTTTATTATTATTATTTTCCATATATTAAGAATAACTGGTCTGTCTGCAAACCTTTGCTGATAAAATGTATTTTAGGCTGCAGTTTGTTGTAGCTAAGAAAAACATTGCGTTTGAATTCTGAATAGAGAAACGGATACCAGATGATTTTGCACTCACTAATAGGCGGACCGTGGTCCGAGTCCAGACCCAGACGCTGTCCTATGTGGTCCTGGACCTATAACCGATAAACTATGGAGAATTATTTGATTTTGATGGGGTGGTCCTTTTGAATCAGCGTAACTTTTCTAGCCTCTACGGTAGCTTTAGCGGCCCGGGAGACTCAGCATGCATTGTAAATATCACATGTGACGCGACTCAGCCAGTCAGATCTGTGCATTACGATGAGCACTGAGACTCGAGGGAGAGACGCACACACAGGGGAGGGACGAGGCAGGAAACAGCAGTCAGAAAGGAAAGTGAGTCAGAGGGAAGTTATTTCACATGACGTGATATAAACAAAGAAAACTGACAATAAATGTTGTTGAAATATGACTGAATTGTACTTTATTTGATTCGACATTCAGTTGTTGACTGTATAAGATGTTGATATACCTACTAGGCTACTTCAGTAAACAGTATATGGCACTGAATCATGATGCAAGTTAGACATTATGATGTTCTGGACTTTCACTTGAGGAAATTTTCTCTAACTGGACCTTAATTTTAATTAAAGACCTCTGAATTTGCATCACAAGCTAGGTTGCCCATCACCAATGCAGCACACACTTTCATTTCCTGATTGTCGTGATTAAAACATGTTGGAAAAATACGGAAATATTCACCTTTTCAAATGGAGAGAGGAAAGTTGGGGAGAGTTTTCTGACCAGGCTTCAGGCTGAACTTGGGCTCCACCGTTCCTTTGATACATTATGCCTTATTTGGGCTCATCGCTGGTCTGATTTCCATAAACACTGACAAACAATGAAAAGTGAGCACTGCATACATGCAAGAAATCCTTTGTATAGTATTGTCATAGGTAAATCATAGGTTTATTATATCCATCTGTACATATTGCAGTTTCTGTAGCCCCTATCGCACATCTTGCACGTCTGGATACTCCACACCTGGACACTTTATTTCAGTACCATTATATGCACATATTTATTCAGTATTGTCGTTATATGCTGTTACCTGCGCCTCCTTGTACATTCATTACTGCACTGCCTTTTTCTTCTCAGGTTATAGATCTAATTCTAATTTTTTGTATATTTCTATTTGTATTTATGCCTGTAAATAGGATTGTTTTATATTTATTCTTCCTTTTATATTGTTTCACCCTTATAATTATTACTGTACTGTGCTGTGTGACTGATACTGGCTGCTAAATGTCCTTTGGGATCAATAAGGTATCTATCTATCTATCTATCTATCTAGTTTTAAAGGGGAATCCCAAATCGGTTCAGATTTTCTGTGTAAGTAAACGGCTGAGATGCTCGGTTTGAGAGAAACTCAAGTCAGAATTGTTCACAGTGGTGGTGATAGGAACCGGACGTCCAAACCTAAAAGCTACATCACAGGAAGTTTTGACATGAAATGGTTATGAAAACACTGCCGGTAACACTTTACTGTAGGGTGCTGTTCATAAGGCTACGTGATACCTACATAGGCTTGTCCTGACAACTGACATAACCCTACATAAATGTTTCTAAATGCTTATTCCAACAGGCATCATCTGTCATAAAAACTACTTTAGCTGACTTTGATCAAATCTAGCAAATGTAACCTTTATGGCAAATTACGCTGATTGGAGTAAGCATTTATTAACATCTATGTAGGGTTAGGTCGGTCATCATGACAAGCCTATGTAGGTGTCATAAAGCCTTATGACCAATACCCTACGGTAAAGTGTTACCACACTGCCTTATGTGTGAAACATTGCTCCGTTGTAAAGGCCAAAACCTTTACAAAGCTTTTTTTTTTTAATCCGTATAAATCCATATCCATTTATTTATTACATATAAACACTCATTAATCCATGTAAATACTCAGAAGACGCTTGTAGGTGCACCAGTCATTCTAGATAGTAAATAAAGTGCATGCATTATAGACATCCTGAACTCTGGTTCCTAGCACTGCTACTGTAAAGAAATCCTGCATGTTTTCAAATAGCTTTTTAATATAAAAACAATAAATCATTTAGTCCTCCTTTAAGTCCGTAAGAGTGCTTGGGTGACACTGATTCTTAATCTGAGTGCTTTACCTCATGTATGTTTGTAGTTTGTGGCCATTGTGTACCTTTTACGTCGTATATTAAAGCTTTTCATGGCTTATTTGTGTTGTAGACATTGCAGCCCCTGGTTCTTCACCAGCGTCTGTAAAAAATAAATAAATTCCAAATAAAAAAATCCTAGATTTTTTAAAAGATTTGGTAAGTTTCTTTACAATTAACCATTTCAAAGATTAATCATTTTTATATCGAACTCGCATTTTTTTTTATTATAGCCCACATTTAAAAATATACAGTTCTTCAAGGTTCTTAAAAAAGATGGTTCTTTAGTAAAGACAGTCTTTCTGTACAGAACCATGAACACTCAGACCCATTTGCATGCATAAAAAGTTCTTTGCATGGTGAAATGGTTCTTCAGATTGGAGAATGTGTTGTATGTGGTTCTGTACAGCATCAAAAAGGGTTCTGGTATTGTTACTTTGTTGCTTGTTGATGTCAAGCTTATAACAATAGAAGAACATTTTGGTCCTGTAGAGAACTTTCAAAAAGGTTCTATATAGAACCATATACAACACATTCTCCATTAATTTGAAGAACCATTTCACCACGCAGAGAACTTTTTATGCATGCAAACGGGTTGCTGAGTCCTTATGGTTCTACACAGAACCACTGTCTTTACTAAAGAACCCTTGAAGAACCATCTTTATTAAGTGTGTACATCAGCAAAAACGTCGTTCTAAGTTTTAAGAGGGGAAACGGAACCTAATAAGAGTTTGTGAACGGCCTGTAGGTGAGTTAGACCAATCAGAGGCAACCAAACCTCCATGTGTTGTGACATCACAACCACAACTTACAGGCAGTTTGACACGCTGCGTTCAGGGGTCGAGCCTCAAGACAAAAAAGGTGGATGTTCTGGTCTTCATGGCCAAAATCAGGCTTAAATCTCAATTCAAAATAAAAATCGCAATTAGATATTTTCCCCAAATCGTTCAGCCGTACTCATCACTGAACGGCTTTGTTTTCATTTTTAGAAATCTTGAAAAATCGATAGATTTCCTCTTTAAAATGAACAGTGACTCAAGTAACTATTTCACTGTATTGGTACTTTATTGTGCCCTTAAGGAAGCATTCAAGGTTCAGTGGCGCTGAGTTGGGCCTTTAGCTGCACAGAGAGCTAATCTCTTCTAAATTGCTTGGTTTCTCAAATGTAGGTCAGGGATTTCTGCACTTTGTAAAATGTCCCTAGTATAGAATAAACCATTGGCCATAAAGCAAATAATAAAATGTCGTTGACAAAACTGGACTGAAATCTTGAGATTTTGCGTTTTTGTAAAGCAGTCCTCATTTTCTGCCTATGCTGTATGAATCTCTCTCCCTCTCATTTGGCTTTCTCTGTCCCTCCCCTCCCCTTCAGTGACGCTCCAGCATGACGGACAGCATCATGAGTAAAGCAGCCACGATGGAGATCCCCATCAACAGTAATGGGGACAGCCGGACTCTTGGGGAGGACGATGGCCTGGAGCAGGTGAGGAGAGCTCCCTTTCTCCCTTTTACTTTCAGCGTCTCTAGTTTGAATCATCTGCGGTAAGTGAGTTCGGAAGTTTGTGGTGTCTGAAACACGTTAAAGTGGCTTTTGGACACGTCTGCTGTTCGAGAGACGCCATATGTTTTACTGACACTGGCATCTGTGCAAGTTTCACAATTTCACCTTTAAGCCCTGAGAAAGAGACTTCCAGGAAGCAGCTGGTTCAAACATTTACCTTTCTTGTCTGTGTGTTTGCGCGAGAGACTCGCTGGAACGCTAAGTGCAGGATATCAGATCTCAGCAGAGGAATTTCTATACACGGTCATAAGAAAGTAATACATACACCGATCAGGCATAACATTATGACCACCTCCTTGTCCATTTTATCAGCTCCACTTACTATATAGGTGCACTTTGTAGTTCTACAGTTACAGACTGTAGTCCATCTGTTTCTCTGATACTTTGTTAGCCCCCTTTTACCCTGTTCTTCAGTGGTCAGGACCCCCATGGACCCTCACAGAGCAGGTACTGTTTGGGTGGTGGATCATTCTCAGCACTGCAGTGACACTGACGTGGTGGTGGTGTGTTAGTGTGTGTTGCGCTGGTCTGAGTGGATCAGACACAGCAGTGCTGCTGGAGTTTTTAAACACCTCAGTGTCGCTGCTGGACTGAGAATAGTCCACCAACCAAAATATTCAGCCAACAGCGTCCTGTGGGCAGCGTCCTGTGACCACTGATGAAGGACTAGAGGATGACCAGCACTAACTGCGCAGCAGCAGATGAGCTATCGTCTCTGACTTTACATCTACAAGGTGGACCGACAAGGTAGGAGTGTCTAATAGAGTGGACAGTGAGTGGACACAGTGTTTAAAAACTCCAGCAGCACTGCTGTGTCTGATCCACTCAGACCAGCACAACACACACTAACACACCACCACCACGTCAGTGTCACTGCAGTGCTGAGAATGATCCACCACCCAAACAGTACCTGCTCTGTGAGGGTCCATGGGGGTCCTGACCACTGAAGAACAGGGTAAAAGGGGGCTAACAAAGTATCAGAGAAACAGATGGACTACAGTCTGTAACTGTAGAACTACAAAGTGCACCTATATAGTAAGTGGAGCTGATAAAATGGACAATGAGCGTAGAAACAAGGAGGTGGTCATAATGTTATGCCTGATCTGTGTGTATATGAGTGGTATAGTGTGTTGGAGACAGTCGTTGTTAGATTGCATGGTTTCCTCTCTTGGGTTCGTAAATAGCCATATGTTGATAGGAGAGAGGAAAAAGCTCTCCCAGTGTTGAGCCTTTGGTAAACAGAAGGTGGAGGGGTTCCATTGTCCCAAGACACACCTAGTCAAAACAACAGTGCAAAGCCTCTAGATCCGGGAAAGGAATGCTAGTCAAACATTGCTCTGTTTGCTGACCGAAGTGGTCGTTTACTTAAATGCGTAGCAGTAGTTTGACTATTAAGCTGACGTAAGAGCTTATCTTCACACGTTACGTAGGATAAATGTTTTAGTGTGAAGAAATCGTGGCCTGTTTGTTTAATTTATCCCATTTCTACAACATTTGCCAGTTTTATTTGTGCTTAAGGAAACATTCTGTCTAAAAGATGGAATGGATGGCCATTCAGACTCGTTTTCACAGTACTGAAAACATTGTTTCCATACAGATGCAGCTTAATTGGTCAACAAACGGTGATGACACTGTTCCTTTAGATGCTGTTGCCTGATTAACTGTCTAAAGCCACGTGTTCGAGACGTTTGACTGACTCAGACAGTGACAGATGGCACTTTGCTGTCCTGTATCTTTTGATAGAACAGAAAAAAGAGGATTCTCAAGGCTTTTCGTCGCCCTGTGATTAATTGGTCAGGAAGGCCAACACCCTTATCATCTGTTATGATGTTCTAAAGTTAGAAGAATTTGAAGGCGACAAGTGGCAACACATTTTCTGTGAAGTGTAACGTGATACTTTCCAGGGCTGCGTCTGCATGTGTAGTGATTCTTTGAATCTTTATATACAAAGCGTTTAATAAAAATAATTATTTAATAATAATAATTAATTTATCATTTGAATAATTGATCATTTCTGTAAGGGTTTTGGGTTAAGTGAGATATTTGACCACTCATTTAGGTAATGTTTTGTATTAAACCGTATCCTTTAATTATCAACAAAACAATTACACTGTGTTTCGATAGAGCATCATATCCTGGGTCCCTAATTGGGGCTGAAAGATGAATCGTTTTAATATGGAAATTGCAATTTAGGACAGTGCAGTTTTCAAATCGCAAGAGCTGCGATTTTCTTTAATTATAGCTACACTCTTAAAAAATATAGTTCTTCAAGGTTCTTAAAAAAGATGGTTCTTTAGCCAAGACAGTCATTCTGTATAGAACCATGAACACTCAGACCCATTTGCATGCATGAAAAGTTCTCTGCATGGTGAAATGGTTCTTCAGATTGGAGAATGTGTTGTATGTGGTTCTGTACAGCATCAAAAAGGGTTCTGGTATTGTTACTTTGTTGCTTGTTGATGTCAAGCTTATAACAATAGAAGAACATTTTGGTCGTACAGAGAACTTTCAAAAAGGTTCTATATAGAACCACATACAACTCATTCTCCATCAATCTGAAGAACCATTTCACCACACAGAGAACTTTTTATGCATGCAAATGGGTTGCTGAGTCCTTATGGTTCTACACAGAACCATTGTCTTTACTAAAGAACCCTTGAAGAGCCATATTTATTAAGTGTGTACATCAGCAAAAACGTTGTTCTAAGTTTTAAGAGGGGAAACGGAACCTAATAAGAGTTTGTGAACGGCCTGTAGGTGAGTTAGACCAATCAGAGGCAACCAAACCTCCATGTGTTGTGACATCACAACCACAACTTACTGGCAGTTTGACACGCTGCGGTCAGGGGTCGAGCCCCAGAATCTCAATTTAAAAAATATATATATATATATATATTAAAAGTTCTTTTTAATGACGGTGCGCTCACTGCTGCAGATATTTATGGATGCCAGTCAGCGACTTCTCACACTGCTCAATGTCTCTGAGCACCACTCAGCATCATTTTATTATTACATTAAATCAATTCCAGAACCAAACCACAAGAAGCTCTAAAAGGCAGTCAGTATAAAGTCTTTAACCCCTTAAAATCCCAGGCTTATTACATACTGTGGCTTATTATTCAGTAACTACAGGGGCTTCTGTGCAAACTGGCTGAGCCATTCTTAGATTATAGAAGTTTGTAATAAACTGCAAGAAGCTTATTGTTTGTACTTCAGGTAAAGTTACTAACCCAGCCACATTGTAACGTACACCGGTCAGGCATAACATTATGACCACCTCCTTGTTTCTGCTTTCATTGTCCATTTTATCAGCTCCACTTACTATATAGGTGCACTTTGTAGTTCTACAGTTACAGACTGTAGTCTGTACAGCAGCACTGCTGTGTCTGATCCACTCAGACAAGCACAACAGAGACTTTTTTCAGAGAGGAAAAAAGAAAAACCGGCAAGATGGCTGAACAAGAGACCAAAGAAACACTTTCTCCATTAAAAAATTACGATAACGACCGTATTATCTTAGTTTAATGTCGTTTCAGTGTATTTTGGTCTTTTTCTTCATAACAAGCATAAAAAATTGCTAATATTATGCTAATGTCTCGGTAGCTAGCTAACTTTCCCATTCCACCTTAAATAGTCCAGCAGTTCTGACGCCTGAAGCGGCAGAATGTAACTGCTGCTCCATTTAAGGTGGAACGGGAAAATTCGAACAAAAAGCTGGAGAATATCTGACTTCAGCTTCATATCACTGAAGAATCAGCACTGCTGTGTCTGATCCACTCAGACCAGCACATCACACACTAACCACACCACCACCACGTCAGTGTTACTGCAGTGCTGAGAATGATCCACCACCCAAATAGTACCTGCTCTGTGAGGGTCCATGGGGGTCCTGACCACTGAAGAACAGGGTAAAAGGGGGCTAACAAAGTATCAGAGAAACAGATGGACTACAGTCTGTAACTGTAGAGCTACAAAGTGCACCTATGTAGTAAGTGGAGCTGATAAAATGGACAATGAGCGCAGAAACAAGGAGGTGGTCATAATGTTATGCCTGATCAGCGTATTTCATCTCACAACTTTTAGTTTGAAAGCAGTGAGTTTGTGAAGACATTCTCAAAATAGTGTTGAAACTAAATCTACAGGAGGAGAGTGTAGGATGAGCTTGACGTTTATGGATGTGATTTGCTGCTTTTCATCCGAAGTGCAGTAGCCTTTAGACGGCTGCAGTAGTCCTTCTGTATTTCCCTTACTGCGCTAAACAAATTAGAACCTCTGACCGAAACATAATACCCTCTAAGCTGCCCTGTCAGTGGAGTATAGAGGTCAGACAGCTTATAAAAATGTGTAACATTAGAGAGAATTAAGTTTACTGGTGGTGTAATACTAATATTAATGTTTAATAATATTAATATTTTAAGGTTTATACCACACGCACAGCCTGCATGAGCACTGGGGACATAGTGCTGCACTTATTTTCAGGTTTAGTATGAGTTCAAGTTTCAGTTTGAATCTCTGCAGAGCTCCTCTGGTGACATCCTGTGAAAATAAAACTAATGCATGGCCACAACTTAGTAAGGCGTGGGAACAAGATAGTTAAGTCGTGACCATGACTTAGTAAGGCATGGAAACGAGATCCTAATACGTGGCCATGGCTTAGTAAGGAGTGGGAACAAGATCCTAATGCGGGGCTATGACTTAGTAGGGCGCGGGAACGAGATCCAAATGCATGACCCTGACTAATGGGTGGCCACGACTTAGTAAGGCGTGGGAACGAGATCCTAATGTGTGGCCAAGACTTAGGCATGGGAACGAGGTCCTAATGAATGGCCATGACATAGTAAGGCGTGGGAACGAGATCCTAATGCATGGCCACGACATAGTAAGGCATGATTTCATTTTTACGGAGCCCCGCTGGCGACATCCATGCGTGGCCACGACTTAGCAAGGCGCAGGAATGAGATCATTAAGTTTGTGGCCATGCATTAGGATCTTGTTCCCACGCATTAATAAGGCATGGCCACGCATTATTTTTATTTATGCAGGATGTCATCATCAGGGCTCCGTACATTTCCATGCCTTACCAAGTCATGACCCTGACTTAGTAAGGTGTCGGAACGAGATCCTAATGCGTGGCCACAACTTAGTAAGTCAGGATCATTGCCACACCTTACTAAATTGTGGCGACAACTTAATTATCTCATTCCCACACCTTACTAAGTCATGACCATGCATTAGGATTTCATTGCCACTTGTTAATAAGGCGTGCCCACACATTATTTTTATTTATATGGGATCTCATATGGATGCATAACATAAGCCCCCCCTGCCCACTTTACTCTGATGGGCTGCACTAAAATGCCTTGTTTTGATCATTGACAGTGGTTTCCATGATAGATGATAGCAGAGGGTCCTATCAGCGATACAGTTCACAGTTTTGATGCAGTTTTACATTGTTTTTCAATACTTAATTTAAATGTACAGTTTACTGTTACTGTTAGCTCATTTGTCACCGTATCTGCTGTTTCTTTACGTTTCCATGTCATTACTGTGCAGTTTGCCCATGTTTGCCACTCTGATCGATCTCTGCACAGTTCGTTTTATTGTGTGCTAATAAAAGGGTTGAAGATCACCACAAGAAATTGTTATATTGAACTGGCAGAGATCTGTCGATAAGTGTTTCTAATGAGATTTTCCTGTGTTTAATACAGTTCATACTGTGTATGATATGTGCAGTCAAGGCCATAAATATTTAGACAGAGTTATTGTTGTTTTAGCCGTCTGCCGCAGCGTTGGAGTTGAAATTAAATGATGATTAAATGAGTTGAATGATAATTCACAGTCAAGCTCAGTGCTCACTTTTAAGAAGCATCTAAAGACGTCTCTCTTTAACTCAGCATTTAATTAAAACTCTAAGTCTCCTGGTTTTTATCTTCTAATTTGATCTGTTTAATTTTCTTCTGGTTCTAAATAAATACTAATGATTTCTTTTATCACCTGTCTGTAAAGCACTTTGAGCTGCCACCGGCATGAAAAGTGCTATATAAATAAAAATTATTAATAAATGCAGTGCAGACTTTTGGCTTTAATGTGAGAGTATTTACATTCAAAACAGCTGAAAGTTGTAAGAATTATAACCATTTGTATTCATTTCATTTGAGCCCTGAAAAATTTGGGGGCTATGCATGAAAATGGTAATTCCTACACTGTAAATATGAAAGTCTGTGCTCTTGAGCTCATGTTCATTATTTAATTCAATGTGCTGTGGCAGACAGTTAAAATGAATATAACCCTGTTGATGTCCAAATATTTATGATGTTAAAATTTTAGGTTTGCTGAAATTGTAATTCATGGATATCAGTTCAGTCTTTTTATGCCTTGGTACCCCATACAGCTGAAATGAGTTTTTCATCATCACTGTTATTTATTTATTTATTTATTTATTTACTTATTTTTTTTATCAGCACTTGTTTTTGTTTATGCATTGTTCATTTTCTTTTCTTCATGTCATCCTTTTCCACCCATGTCTGTGCAGGCTCGAAAGGTACAGTGGGGATTAGATGAGAAGGTAGGGCGCCCCCCAGGCCAAAGGGTGAGGAGAGCACTGGTGGAGGGTTCAGAGCCCACCGCGGCTCTGTGTGTGTTTGTGTGTCTGTATATGTTTGTGACGGGGAGGGTGTGTTCTTGTAGTGCTATACTTGTGAGGACCCCATGTCCTCACTGTGATAGGAATATATGAATTTTTTGCTCAATTGAGGACATTTTGCTGGTCCTCACTTGAGCATGTGTTTTCACCACAATTACTTTTTTATTTGAAAACTAAAAGAGAAAAATTGCCTTTTGGATACTAAGGTTAAGGTTAGGTGTAGTATTGTTTAGCTACAGTATCACAAAAATCAATAGAAACCTATGGACGTCCTCATATGTATAGCAAGACAAACGTGTTTGTGTGTGTGTGTGGAACTGTGTTGTTTGGCCCCTGATTTTGGCAGAACTCACGGGATGTTTTTCAAAATTATTAACAGAAAGTTATTAATTTAGTCTGTTAGATGAGAAAAGTAAATATCTATATTTCTCATTTGCTAGTTTTGAAAAACATCCTGCTGCAGTCCTACAGTTCTATTAACCAACAACTAAACATTAGACACAGTGTAATTAACATAAAAATCCATTTGGAATAGCGTTAATAAAGGATTCGAGGATATTTTTGCGTTTCGCATACACTGTATAGGCGCCGCCAGTTTGAGGACCGAATCAGGGGGTGACTGCGCTGCGCGACGCCTTCAGTTAGCTGTGCTTTGTGAATGATTCACCTGCAAGACGCGACAGAAGCTGAGAGACGAGAGACACACAGACCTTTAATTCAGTGTTTTCACTCCAGGCTTGGAGACGCTGCACTGTACAGTTTAGTGTTTCTCTCTGCTGTTCACCTCGTTCAGCTCAAGAAGGGATTAATTAACTAATAATATCAGGTATTTTAACCAGGAAACCACAGTTATGCAGTGCAGGGGTTTCAGGACTGGAGCTGAACTCTGAACTAACTGCACTAGCAAACTTACAGAATCATGTCTGTCGAAACACGACGTCGTTTTCCGACCCACGACATTCAGTCTGATATTTAACATTTATGTTTCTCCATTCAAACGTCATTTAAATCAGAAACAGAGAGTAAAGTTATACCGGCGGTCTGCAGCTCCGTTAGGGGGGCGACTGTTTATCTCTCGGCTGTTAACATCAGCTAAAGTGATCTAAAGGCTGGCATTGATCACATCTGTGTTAATTAGCTGATGTCGTTTCCCTCCTATGATGACAGAGTTTTCTCCTCTTTATGCAGCACCATGGGGTCCTTTACCCACCCTGACGTGAAGAGCCGGTGGGCTTCAGTGCTTTTAAATGCTGTGAGAGACTCCAGGATAGGGAGAGCGGCCGAGTATGAGATTAATATATCAGGAAAACACAAATTTAGTAGCTTTCAGCCAGTTTAAGTGGGATCAGGAGTTCAGGGGGAACTGTATAAGGATCGCAGACTATTTTTTCGACTCAGCCGAGGTCATTTTAGCCATCTTTCACCTGTAGATATGTTCGTGCGGAGCAGCAAAGCCAGAAATTCGGTCCCAAATATGGCGGCCACAACAGAAAAATCACATGACTGAAACCCTCAGAATGGTTCCAGTGGATTTCTGTTCCTCATAACCTTCTGTCTGTTGTTGTGTTCGTAAACTGAGCGTGTGCCAGTGTGTAGTGTGTTACTAATCTATCGTCAGCACTTTTCAGTGAGCGTGCGTTTGACGTTCGTTTCAGAATGAATGCCAGGCACAGGCAAATGCTGATGATACCACATGCTTATCCCTGTCGGGGACGTCACTCCACCTAAATGCTGAATCTCAGCCTCCGCTGCTGCGTGTCCCCGTCAGTAATGTTCCCATGCCTTCGTTTTGTTCGACTGGTTGGAGGAGATGATTGGCCTGCTCAGTGGGACAGGACTGTTTAGGCTATCTGGCATCAGATGCCATTTACTGCACTGCTGATGTAATCAGAGCGTCTTCCTGCTGCACACTCTCGAGCGCACCCTGTTTAGAGTGATGAATAAGCCATTTCTGGTGTGCTTAGTGAATGCCAGTGGGCAAGTTCTTAAAGGGCCGGTGTTATAGGAAACCAATTTTCCCTCACTTTAAAAAAATAAATGAATAAATAAGTCGTTTAGTGTAATACATAAATAAAATAAACATTTTGAGTATGAGTAACATTATGAGTATTGGTAACAGTCCCTTCCTGAATGGTAATATGCATGGAGACCCATACAACCAGCACAATCAGTCACTGAGTGCGTTTACATACTCAATAATCCGATTATAATCTGATTTCTGCAGTTATCCGATTATTCAAATGGTCATGTAAACACCATACTCTTAGCATTGTTGTCATGGTTTTAATTTGGTAAGCAAAAAGTGCTTTTAAAGCATTTTTTTTTCCCTCATTGTAAGATAAATGAAACCGCAAAATACAGTGATTGACAGCTGAATGTTTCTCTCCTTGTTCAACAGTCCATAGGAACAATGTCATACTCTAAAGCAGTGGTTCCCAAACTTTTTACAGGTTCATACCCCTTCGGATGTTAAACCTCCTGCTGCGCATCCCCTCACCTTATATATACACGTGCACGTATTGCCATGATATGCAATATATTTTTTTTATACGTCTTGAAAATTTGAATAGTTTTTGTTGGTATTTTAATCAAAGTATGAGCAATATAAACTTGTACAATCTCGACTGTCACATTTCTAACATTATGTGAAAACATTAATTCGAATTAACAGAATTAATTGTGAAAATCGTCTAATTGACAATTTCCAACTATCAGCTCCAACTGCCCCAAAGTCTGCAGACTAGCCAACCAGCACAGACTCAGCCTGAATGAGAGTGTGCACTGAAATCTTGTAGCGTAACTGGTTTAAAGTAGGCTTCAGTAGGCTGTCGTGCTCAGAATGCATGTCTGCTATTTCAGGCTAGCATTGTTACAAGATTATATTCAGTCATTGAGTCATTTTTTTATCTCACCAATATCCAGTCCAGCGTTTTCTGCTGATGTTGCCCTGATAGTGATACCTGGTATTGGTTCAGTGCCGTCTCTAATTCTAAGGTATAACCCAGAGGTTGGAAAATGGTGATGCTAAAATAACTGATGACTGTTTTGGCGTCTTAAACCATGCAGACAGCAAAAATGGACCTCAGGGGAAAAAAGAAAACACATCAGAAATGTAGGATATGGTCTGTAAGGGTGTTTTTACATATAGTTCTTTTTAAATGAACCGAACTGAGTTCTGTTAAAGTGAACCTAAAAGGGAACCAACTACAAATGACCTCAGTTCTTTTTGTGATTACAGTGTAGACATTTAGCTTTATAAAAGTCCTCTTTAAAATATCACGTTTATGATGCAGTGACACTTCATACCAGACATATTGAATAATACTGAGTAGTGTTATTTCAGTGCAGAGTGATGTGAGGGAATATGCATGCAAAGAGAGTCTGTGGCTGTAAATGATCAGATAATAGTAAAAGGTACTATTAATGTGCCACACGTCCATTTTTGTGCCCCTATCGTTTACAGATATTTTACACTTGGAAAAACATGTTAGGCTTAAAATTTATTTATATTTTAAAATAAAATAATACGTTATTTTACAATTTCACCTTCCTGAGCATCAATTTAGCAATATTGGTTTTTAAATCAGTTATACAGAATTCCAAGCACCACAGAAGAGCTCGTCACAGTCATGTGTGAAGGCTGAGGCCATATTCTGAGGTAAAAAACGTTTTTCTGCAATTTTAACTGCAATAATCTCTACATGACTATGAAATATATAAATTAAATGACGTAAAGAAAACAAATGCCAAATAAATATTATAAAATATATAATGAAAGTTGTGGTCCCCAGGAGTCGTGTCACTGGTGTTACCACGTAACAAAATATCTCTTATTTTGAAATAAAAGTCACACTGATGACATCACTTGACTTCCTTTTACCTGTTTTCTGAGGATCTATGAAGAAAAGCTCATGGTGAGTCCACTGAGTCTTTCAGTTATCAGAGATTCTCATTTAGCTCATGATTTCATATGAAGCTTTTAGCTGAAGTCACTGGTGTGACCGACTTTATTCTTAGGTAATTGTGAAAAAATAGAATACAAATGGATTAAATTCCATATTTTAGTGGATATTCCATGATTGACAACATGTTGTTTGATGCTCTGTAGCAGCCATTTTGTAAAATGCATTGTTCATTAAAAATGTCTCTGGTGTTCCTTTATTATGTGTAACACCAATGAGGATCGGTAACACCAGTGACTCCTATGGAGAGATAGAAAAGTGGATGTTTCTGTAGAATGACCCGGCTCCAGAAACACACAACCAAAGTGATAAGGCTAAGCGCTCATCACAGCAGCTGCAAAAAAACATCTCACTACTTCCGTGAACTAAACCAACAATTAGTGAGTGATACTCACTTCATTCACACAAACAACAGGGCACAATAAACTGATGATGGACTCTAAGTTAGTTTCTCCAGAATGCGTGCTGCACAGAAGGAACTGGAGAGAAATGCTTTCATCGCCAGCACAGCCTTTCATACATATAACAATAAACAGAGAGCGGAATCCCCATTAGAGGTCGGGTCAGTCATGTGGTGGATGTTATAAATACCACACTCCTTACTCATACATTCACATCAGAGCACAACACTATCCATAAATATGCCATTGACTTCAGATAGAGCTGGGCGATATGGCCAAAAACGTTATCACGATAAACAAAATTCATATCGTTCGATATCGATACGTATCGCGATAAATGTCAAATCATGATTTCTTTCACGTTTGAAGGCTGATTTTGCTCCTGGGTGGTTAATTGTGGTTTTAAACTATCACTTATGGTCGACAAACACTCGGCAAACAGTGGAACATTTCACTAATCTGTCATGGACAGTGGGAGAAAGTTTCTGAGCTGTTTTTATCAGCTGGAAAAGCACAGCTGCCATTTTTGTAATAGTCATGATTTAAGAAAGAAAACAGATTATTTTTAGCTGTCTGGTGACGAGCGCTCGGCTACCCCGCTACAAATGCTAAACAAGTGGCCAACAACAGAGCTAAACTCTTTAGTTTCTCAACAACGTCAGCTCGGTTCGGTCGGTCACTGCGGTCACTCCTACCACATCCATGTCAGAGCAGATCACAGTATTCAGACACCAGCTAGACGGCTGGGTTTCTCTATGCTACCGTAGTAGTTTAAGGGGTGAACCGCAGTATATCTGACGCTCGCTGTGTAAAAGCATTATCTGCAGTGTGAATCTCTCACACCAGTCACAGAGTCCTCCTTTTAGGCACGTTTAAACTGAAAGCGGTGATTTTGTGTCGTGTTTGATCTACAGTATCATCAATGTACCATGTTGTGCCGGAGCGCTGCTTCAAGTTAGCCAGCAGCTAAAAACAGCTAGCCTGGAAAGATAGCGCTCTCCTGCTCTCCAATGCCTCACGGCTTCCTCAGTTTACTTTCGTTTAAATCAGGGCTGTAACTGACATGAACCCACTTCTTTCTTCCACTTTCGTTGCTCGAGAATGCACTAATACTAAAATATGACTGGCGCTGTAACAGTGCTGTAGTTGTGAGGATCAGACGTGATTTAACGCTGCTAAAGCTGGTTAGGATGTACAGAAAGAGGTGAGTTCACTGTAGGACAGTACAGTTACACCACTGACCTCGTCACTCAGACTCAGTCACAGGAGAACAGATCGCCGGTCGCTCCACTCAAACAGGGACTGTATAACTTCGCGTTTCAGCCGTTGCTAAAGTATATTTGGCGACCCTTTTTTTTACTCGTGGCCCCCTCCCTCTCTAAGTCGAACAACTCGGAAGTGCGCCCTCTCCTGGCGACAGCAGAGTAGTGTCGCTTTCCTTGCAGTAGAAAACGCCCACCAGGGCTTTCGCTAAAACGTGGAAGTGTGAGAATAGTGTATTATATCGAAAATTTATCGAACCTGTCTTATCGCTCTATCGAGGAAAAGTTATATCGCGATACTTATCGTTATCGTTTTATCGCCCAGCCCTAACTTCAGATTAAACTCAGTATTCATCCACTTGTAGCGATTTTACTGAGTGTTTCTTGTTCAGGAGTTCATGAATGGAGCGCAGAGCTGTTTGTTTTGGTGAATTACTGCTGTAGTTGTGAGGCGAATATGAAATAAAGATTAGATGATAATAATATGACATCTTTTGATGTACCCCCAGCATCATTTGCTGTACCCCTAGAAGTATGCGTACCACAGTTTGGGAACCACTGCTCTACATTTCTTTATGGAAACTTGTTGACCTTGATTATTAATAATAATCACTTATTTACAGAAGAATTATTTATTTTAATTCATTTATCGTATTTGCTGTTTATAAAAGCAGTAAGCCACTTCAGGCTGTGCAGTACAGTGAGTTTATCATGGGAAAGGGGGTTTTACTCATGCCTAACAACACCCTTACCTGTGATAAAATTACCCTAACACACAGTCTATTGTGCCTTATTGCTTTAGTTTATCTTGGGTAAAACATCATTAAAAAGCTCAACTACACACAGTTTACTTGCTTTATTTACTTGTTTGCGCTCTCGGTTTTTATTGGCTGTTGGGGGAATCCATTTAGATTGAGTTGATGGCCATTCTACACTAATAGATTACATTCTGAGTCGGGTGCCGTTCGCACACGACAAGTTTTTTTTTGGGTGATATTGCAAAAAAGTAAAATCTTGATATATGATAATTTATTAAAGATTTTCGATTCCGAATTTTTTATTTTTATTTTTTTTTTTATTCTTGCATAATGCCATTGAAAAAAGACACTTTCTTTTTTGCACTTTAATTTAAAAGACTGCAGAAGTGCAAAAGTAGTAACAGCACCACCTATAATTATTAAATCATGCAAATAGTGGTTACTTTCAAATATCCTTTCAAGGGACTCAAACTGTGCAAGCATAACAAAATTTGTAAGAAAAAAAAAAAAACAAAATACAAAAGAACCATCTTAATTAGTGATTTTCTTTTAAGAATAGCAAGCAGCTTCCTTAAAGCTCACAAGCAACTCTCACTTCAAATAATGTGCCAGCATGGCCTGCTTACATTAAGAAAAGTGCAAACCACAAAAGTCTTTACAGGTTTTTTGAAAGGAGCACAAGCCTATCTACTGTTTCAGGCTTGAGAGACGCCCTCTGACAGGTAACAACGTTCCCAGCCGCACTGAACACTCACTAATTTTCATCGCGTTGTTTTACTCATTGCTCCCGTTCCGCTGGGTGTTTGTGTCGTGAGCTGGAACAGATTCGTCGTACTGCTACATTTGGTTGCAGCTGTCTTTTGACACAACTTACACTTTACATGAATTTGTTCAACATCTGACTTTTCAAATCCGAACCAGTTCCACACCACTGAACTGATGTTTCCACCTTTCTCTGGTACGAGCTCACTCCTGAGCGAAGCGCCACCTGCCTCTATCTTGGAGTGTTTGTGTTTTGTTTTTGTTTTTGTTTTGTTTTTGTTTTTGTTTTTTTCCTCCCGCGCGTGGCTGAGGTCAGCGCACAGACCTGCGAGAGGCGGCATTTTTTATCTAAGATGCCTTTTTTTTTTTTTTGTACGTCTTGAAAATTTGAATAGTTTTTGTTGGTATTTTAATCAAAGTAAAAGCAATATAAACTTGTACAATCTCGACTGTCACATTTCTAACATTATGTGAAAACATTAATTTGAATTAACCGAATTAATTGTGAAAATCGTCTAATTGACTATTTCCAACTATCAACTCCAACTGCCTCAAAGTCTACAGACTATAGCCAACCAGCACAGACTCGGCCTGAATGAGAGTGTGCACTGAAATCTTGTAGCGTAACTGGTTAAAAGTAGGCTTCAGTAGGCTATCATGCTCAGAATGCATGTGTCTATTTCAGGCTAGCATTGTTACAAGATTATATTCAGTCATTGAGTCATTTTTTTATCTCACCAATATCCAGTCCAGCATTTTCTGCTGATATTGCCCTGATAGTGATACCTGGTATTGGGTCAGTGCCGTCTCTAATTCTAAGGTATAACCCAGAGGTTGGAAAATGGTGATGCTAAAATAACTGATGACTGTTTTGGCGTCTTAAACCACGCAAACCGCATAAATGGACCTCAGGGAACAAAAGAAAATACATCAGAAATGTAGGATATGGTCTGTAAGGGTGTTTTTACATATAGCTCTTTTTAAATGAACCGAACTGAGTTCTGTTAAAGTGAATCTAAAAGGGAACCAACTACAAATGACCTCAGTTCTTTTTGTGATTGCAATGTAAGTGAACTATAAAGAGGACTCGGTTTTCTTTCTGGTCCTTTGAGATCTCAGACCACAACTCCATTAGAACTAAGACCCCTTTCACGCCACTCATGGTGTGTGCAGCGCTCGCAAAGTGGGCAGTGCTCTGTGATAAATCTAACCTTTCAGATGGCGAGAGGAACCACCAGACACGCCTGCTGCTCTGCTATTGGCCACGCTGAAACTATTGGCCGAAGTGCATCGCGCAAAATTGGAAAAATGACCCTGCATGTCTGCCACAGTGGGTTCCGTTTTCAGCTGGGCTCCGTTTTCAGCTGGGCTCATCACTGAGCTCCACCCGGCGATCACAGACAACCTTTATCTATTCTGAGTAGATCCTCCTAAATGATCCTTGGTGGTCTGTTTTTACCTGCTGAAGTGCTGGAAGACTGTGGCTGTGTGTACGGTGAGCTTCGAGGTCTTCATCATCAAGCAAAGCTAAAGTGGTCTGGGGCCGTTTAGTTGTCACAATGCGCAAATCAATCGATCCACAAAACAAACTACGAACGAATCAAACTGAGACCGCCGTGAGAGATGGTCTCGGTTCGGTTCGTTTTTGGGGCCGTTTAGAGGAGTCTGAGTTTGTTTGCCGTGTTCACATATGCACAAAAAAACACGACTCAGCAGGCGGAGTCCACTACAGACACTAAAATAACCCAAGTGTGAAAACACCCTAAGACACAAAGTTAGTTTCAGCGGGCAGTAAGAAAATAAAAGTCCATTAAACTGAATGAAAATGAAAGTTTGACTCATACTCAGTAATTTCCTAACACCCACCTAATATAAACCTTCCTTGCCCCCCTCTAATAACTTGTTTTGTGCATCGTAGGCTAGTTTGGTTTTCTTTTTACTAAGCATCGACCAGGTTTTGGGACTTGAAGACGGCTCTCTCTGTGTCTGTGTCTAGGATCTGCAGCAGGTAATGGTATCTGGGCCCAACCTTAATGAAACCAGCATCGTATCGGGTGGCTATGGTGGCACAGCAGAAGGCATCATTCCTACCAGCTCCATCAAAGGTATCGCTCTCACTCTCTTTCAAACTGTGTTCCTATTGGTCCGTTTCCTCCTGTTCTTTCTTTTCTTTCTTTCTCTTGTGATCTGTTTTTACCAGCGTTTCTGTGTGACCCCGTTTTCCATGCGAGCTTTGGACGCCACTAAACAGGAAGCTGCCCTTTGCTTTTTCTCAGAAGGAAATGTATTTCAAAGAGAAGTCGGTCATTTTCTTCCAGCAGATTAACTTCCTCCTGAGAGTTGGGGTGGGAAACGTCAATAATTGTCATGGTACTTGAAAATATCACGATACGTGTGTGTATGTGTATGTGTGTGTGTGTGTGTGTGTGTGTGTGTGTATGCATATATGTATAATGCAATGATGTGCAAATCATTTAAACCCTATATTTAATTGAAAATAGTACAAAGACAACATATCAAATGTTGAAACTAAGAAATTTAGATTTTTAGAAATTTAGAAACGTTACAAAAAAGATGGGACGGGGGGACAAAAGGCTGGTAAAGTTATGCAATGCTAAAAAAAACACCTGGTGGTTAATTGGCAACAGGTCAGTAACATGATTGTGTATAAAAAGCATCCTAGAGATTCTGAGTCTTTCAGAAGTAAAGATGAGGAGGGGTTCACCACTCTGTGAAAGACTGCACCATCAAATAGTGCAACAATTCAAGAATAACGTTTCTCAGCATAAAATAGCAAAGAACGTTTGTTTTTCATCATCTACAGTACATAATATCATTAAAAGATTCAGAGAATCTGGAGAAATCTCTGTATGTAAGGGACGAGGCCAAAAACCAGTATTTGCTGGCCGTGATCTTTGGGCTCTCAGGCGGCACTGCATTAAAAATAGACATGATTCTGTAGTGGAAATCACTGCATGGGCTCAGAAACACTTCTGAAAACCACTGTCTGTGAAAACAGTTCATCACTGCATCCACAAATGCAAGTTAAAACTCTAAAACACAAAGAAGAAACCAAATATAAACAGGATCTAGAAACACTGCCGCCTTCTCTGGGCCTGAGCTCATTTAAAATGGACTGAGGAGAAGTGGAAAAGTGTTCTGTGGTCCAACTAATCAACATTTTAAATTCTTTGTGGAAATCATGGTCACTGTGTCCTCCGGGCTAAAGACCACTCAGCTTGTTATCAGTGCACAGTTTAAAAGCCAGTATTCATGATGGTATAGGGGGGCATTAGTGCACATGGCATGGGTGACGTGCACATCTGTGAAGGCACCATTAATGCTGAACAATATATATATATATGAAGGTTTAGGCAACATATGCTGCCATCCAAACAACGTCTTTTTCAGGGAAGGCCTTGATTATTTCAGCAAGACAATGTCAAACCACACTCTGCATGTATTACAGCAGCATTGCTCTGTGTTAAAATAGTCCGGGTGCTAAACTGACCTGCAGTCCAGACCTGCCACCCACTGAAATGAAAAATGAGACAAAGGAGACCCTGAACTGATGAGCAGCTGAAATCCTGTATCAAACAAGAACGGGAAAACATTTCACTTTCTAAACTACAGCAGTGTCTCCTCAGTTCCCAAACACTTACAGAGTGTTGTTAAAAGAAGAGGTGATGAAACACAGTGGTAAACAGGCCCCCGTCCCAACTTTTTTGGAATGCGTTGTTGGCATCAAATTCAAAATGGGCATATATTTTTCAAAAAACAATAAAATTATTTTTTATATATATATATATATATATATATATATATATATATATATATATATATATGTTTGAAGAGCTGTTGCAACAGGTGTTATCTTACCTGGGTTTGTAACTTACTAGCTTTATCACTAAGTTGTGGCTCATTTCTCCACCATGTAGACATGCAACATGATTGGCACGCAAGTGGATACGCCTGCTCGTCCTGAATCCTGATTGGTTAAATGTTTGGTGGTACACATTTTTTTCCTCTCCCGTTTTCAGAGCCTGAGCAGCTACAGACAGCTAACCCCCCCCCCCATCTGAGCGTATATTGTATTGACAGCTGCCACAATGTAAGAATTTCACCAAATATAAGAAAAAATGTTCTGATTTATGTTTGGACGTCACTGACTACCTATTTAAACAGGGCTAATTATATTCTCATGGACTCTGCACTGAACAGTACACAATATGCTTGGAAACTGTTAATGTGATGTATCATGATAGTGGTACTGTATCATCATATTGCCCACCCCTACCTGAGAGTCGAGCCTTCTGTAGCCTAGAGTGTGTGCTGCATAGTGGACACCTTCCTCTTTATACCACAGTGAACTGGATGCAGATGTCTTTGTGGAAGTTGGGTGGATTTGACACGTTTTCTTTTTATTGTGGTTGCTTGATCGAGTGTTTCAGGTTAGAAAAGTTCAGATGATCATGCTGGATTTTCCTATTTTATTCTCTACACACTTTCGCCCACGTTCCTTTGTTTACCACGCAGTTTCTAGACCACTGGCTGCCTTTGACAGAAAGGAATGTGCTTTATTTTGTTCTTTTTTCCTGGTACGCTTTAATTTGCATGAGAGGAAAAAGAACTGTGTGGTTGTAGAACCGGTGTGGTACAGTAAGAGAACCTTTCAAGCTGTTATCTCCCCCCCTCCCCCTTCACACACACACACACACACACACACACACACACACACACTCATACACACACACACATACTCATACATACACACACATACACACACACACGTTTGTCTTGCTATACATATGAGGACGTCCATAGGGTTCTATTGATTTTTGTGTTACTGTAGCTAAATAATACTACACCTAAACCTAACCTTAACCTCAGTATCCAAAAGGCAGTTTTTCTGCTCTCTAAATTTTCAAATAAAAAACGTAATTGTGGTGAAAACAACACATGCTCAAGTGAAATTTCATATATTCCTATCATAGTGAGGGCGTGGGGTCCTCGCAAGTATAGCAATACAAGAGCACACACACACACTCACACACTCTGCTCTGGAGGTTCCATTGATTGCTTTGCATAATTTTCAGCCTCAGTAGCTTTTCTATTGTTTTCTACTCTTGAGTTTCCCGGGGTTTAGGATGAGTGAAAGTGCTGGATGGGGGTTTAGGGCAACGTATTATTGTGTCGTGAAGCTCTTTTACTGTGATCTCTGAGCTTTATGTGTGTGACCTCATTGTCACCCGTGTGAGTGCCCCAGCACCCGTTTAAGATGAACTGAAAATAAATAATTATTTAAAAATGATTAAATGAAAATAACACTGAGCACCGTAGTTTTTATGAGTAATAAACGTTGTGTAATGATACCAGATTCACTTTGATTTTCAATTCCGAGGTTAAGATGTTTTTTTCATGTGTTAAAATGTCTCAATGTTTAAGAGATATAACTGGATCCCAAACAGATTGTGACAATTGCGCCAGCCTCTCACGAAATAAACCTCCAAAATCATAACCCCTAGTATTTATAAACAACCTCAGAAACTTTTCCACCTTGTACGTTTCAGTTAGAAAACAGCAAGTTTTAGTTAGTTAGCAGGGCCCAATCCCATTTCACCCCTCGCCCTACCACTCAGCCCTTAGCTCTCCGTGTGTTACGTCTGGGATTAGGGTGTCCCAATTTTTTGTTGAGATAGAGGGGTGGGGCGAAGTGTTAGGGCTACATGACCCTCCAAACAGAGGTTTTTCAGACACAGACAAACAGAGAGTTATGAGAAAAAAAGAAAAACCAGCAAGACGGCTGAACAAGAGACCAAAGAAACCCACAAATGTGAGAATTTTCTCTGTTAAATATTACGAAATCCACTGAATTATCTTTAATAATGTTTAATGTCGTTTCAGTGTATTTTGGTCGTTTTCTTCATAACAAGTATAAAAAATCGCTAATAGTATGCTAATGTCTCGGTAGCTAGCTAGCTAACTTTCCCATTCCACCTTAAATAGTCCAGCAGTTCTGACGCCTGAAGCACCAGAATGTGACTGCTGCACTATTTAAGGTGGAACGGGGAAAATTCGAACAAGAAGCTGGTGAATATCTGACTTCAGCTTCATATCACTGAAGAATTAGGGGTGGGTGATAATAATAATTGCCCCCCTCTTTGAAGGCATATGATGCCCTAAATGTAACTAAAGCCCAGCAGTGAGGAGCTGAACTTTACCCTCCTCTGCTGTCACTGCAGACTGGCAGGGTCGCCTACAGAGCAGCGCTAGTAGCTGTTAATGAAGTGATGCTCTTTTTATTTGAGGGTCTCATTTCAGAGAGAAGATTTCAACCACTACCCTGTAACTCAGTTCCAAGGGTTTAGGCTGACGCTCGAAAACAAGGGGTAGGGGTAAAAAGAAGAAATGCGATTAGGCCCAAGTGTGGCGCGTCACTAAACGTTACTAAAAGTTTTATCTCGTAAAATCTGTATCAGTCAGGTGTAAAATGTGGTCGAGCTTGTTTTTTATTTGTGCTTCTTTGCGACGCTTCCTGTATGCTTTGTATAATTTGCTTCCAGCTTGACTCTTCTCGCTTAGACAGCTCCTTTAGTCGGCTGCAGCAGTCTTTCAGTGCTTCTTTTCTTTGGACTAAACTAATAAGGAGCTCTGACTAAAACATAGGGTGTGTGCTCTACACTGCCCTCTGCTGGAGAATAGGGTTCAGACATCTCATTACTATTTTGTGTTTATTTTCATTTTAATGGTGATTTGAAATTCGAACTCATCCGTAATTCCCACAAAAGATGGTAAAGGGTAAAGACGCTCATAAGAGTGAAAGGTGTATCAGAAATAGTTTTATTTTTATGTTTTTAATTCAGATATTCAATGTAGTATTGAAATCCTTACACTTTTAGTACTGAACATGCATTTGTGAGATGCTGTTGGTGGGGTCAGAGTCGGTTTATGAGGAGCCTGATCTCTTCCTATTCCCCCCATTATATCAAAAACAGGACTGCTGGACAGCAGAGGGCACCTGCGAGTGAGTCCTCAGTGAATGGGGGTGAATGGAGCTCAACGGCTAAAAACGAGAAGTTAAAATAGTTTCTAATCACTGAACCAGAACTTTGCTTTAATTTTAGAGAGTAGAAGGATGGATTTCACTAAAAAAGCAAAGAAATCTCACCTGTAAGTTTCCTTTTTTATACAGTTCACAGGTTTTGGGCAGCAGGAGGCGGGCATTACTGCTAGTGAGTGCTGATTGGTTGGCGAGCAGAGCAGCTCATTGGCTGTTCGCACTCATTGACATCATGGACATACATGAAGCGCTGTTTTAAACTCCTATAACTCGAGTTTAAAAGCTCTTAAAAATATAACAGCAGTGTTAAAATGTTTTATGCTGCTCTGTGTTCAGGATATAACTGCATTCTTTTACATTAAAAATGTTTAAGCATTTATAAACTATGATTTTGCTCAAATGCTCCATATCAACCCATTCATTTTGAACTCGCTCAGGAGTGCCCTCTAGTGTTTGAGAAACCCGGAAGGCAGAGTGGTAATTCTCCTCTCTACAAGTTCTCTGGTGAGGTCAGGTCATTTGCTCCTAGAGTGCTAAGAGCTCCCCCTTGTGGAAAAACTTCAGCTTTCTTAAGCATGAGTGCACCTATGTTTGTATTAGAGTATATCTCCAAAATGGTAACTTTACAGGAGCAGGAAAAAACATACTTTACTTTTAATGTAAGTCAATGGAACCAGAATTTTTTCCAAGTCGTTTTGGGCCGTTTCTCTTGGTCCATTCTTCATGAAATTTACACACAATGTAAAGGACAGCAGACGTTGTCAAATTATGTCAAAAACTGAAAAACGACAAAAATGGACATACATTTCTTCTGACAGCAGGAATATTTTTATAGTGTTATAATATTTGTTAAATTTTTTTTTACCACCATCATAATAACTTCTATGACCCATTATGGCCATTTATCTGTATGCAAAGTACTAATTTTCCTTAGATAGTATTTGGAAAGGCCACAGCAGAGACTGTATTGCTGTATTGTAGCCTCATGGCTTATTATATCTAACAATCCATTGTTTTAACAATGGTTGAAATATTAGTAGCGAACTAATTAAAATTAAATTAGGCCAATCTAGTTCTCTGTCATTTCTCTTTCCCAACATGGGTGACTATTATTGGCTGTGAAGAATTGGCCTTATGGCTCAAAAAACTTTTTCCAGCTCAGTGTTTGAAGAGCTCTGATAGAAATGTGTTTCTGCTATGACGGTTGTAGAAGCTGAGGAACTGAAACTGCTGACAAAAGATCAATACTGTGCTGCAGTACAAATGAAATTGAATCCTTTATCAGATTTTCTTCAGCCCTGAATGCCATGCTCAGTGTGAAAGAGTCTCTGGCTCCCCCTGGTGGACGACTGAGTAAAAGCGCTCTGCATGTCTCCTCTCAGGCCCTGCTGTTCGCCTCAACACTGAATTTCTGGGCAACAGACGCATCCCAGTTGATGGACAAGGTTACTCAACCCTCTCCGTCTGTCTCTCTCTCTCTCTCTCTCTCTCTCTCTTTCTCAGTGCCTCTCACACTGCTTGGTCAGTCTGGAGTTGCAGATTACTCTCTTAGCCATTTTCATCACTCCCTTCTTTTTTCTAAGGTCGGGGATTCTGAAGGACAGATTGATGTGTTTCCCTTTATTCCTCTCCTCCAGGCTTTCGGGTCGACCTGTATTGGCTCTGCTTGTACATTTCTTTTCCTTTGCTGGGGAAGAAGTTTGCTTATGTTAATCTCTTTGCACTCAAGTGTTCGTTTCTGTTTTCTGATTGTTCTGTCTGAATGATTTTGTACTGGAATCAAAGGCATTGTTGAATTTATTTGACTGAAATGTTTACAAATGCACTTTAGCTTTAATCACAGAATGCCTGAGGAGGTATTTAGGTCAAAATCATAAACCAGAGATAAAGTCATTTAAGACAGCATAACAGCACCTACTTTAATCTGTGTTACAGTCATTACAGCTCTTTCTCCTCGATTGTTTTACGCTGTGCTCACATGCACGTGTTACCCTGTGTGCACACCGCAGGCGATGAAATCGCTCAGTATAGCTTGGGCTGCCTTCCACTGGTCACTGGTGGGTGTTTTGAAGCCGGAGCAGGCAGGCGGTGAGTTCATTGGGATTGTGTGGTCATGCAGAGCCAGGCTTACTCAGCACTTGTTCAGCATGGGCTAAATTTGTTATCTAACATAAGATTAGACAAAAATATTCGAATGTGAATATCATGATTAAAATATTGAATCAATAATTCGTCACTTCTCTGCTTTCTTTCTAATTTATACCTCAGCTGACCAGAAATGCTTTGCAGGCGAAGCAGTTTTACTCGCTTTAACTCTTGACCATGAGGGATGTGCATCTCATTAAAGCGCATTCTAAATGTTTTTCATTATCTGTGTGATAAACAAAACAGTTAAATTGGCCCATAACTGTAGCTTGTTACACAGTGAGGCTTGGCTAAGCTGTCACTTCAGTATTATTGCCATGGTCATTATTATAATATAAGAAAACACTTTCTTGTACACTTCATGCACTGTTTCAACACAGACATCATTGAGTGTGTTTATATGCACTCAATAATCCGATCATAATCAGATTTTTGCAGTTATCTGATTATTCAAACGGTCATGTAAACACCATACGATCCGATCTAGAAATCCGATAAAGAGGCTGGATTTTAGCTCGGTAGTCAGATTTCTCAGTGCATGTGAACTCTTACTCTGATTTCTTTCGTATTTCTCGGTCTGCATGTGTGAAAACAGGCTGCAGTACCAGAAATAAGCGAGAAGCGTCGCCGCGAGACGCAGCAAAACACTTTAGGAGAGGAACTGAAATCAAATATAAAATGAAGAACTTAAATATTCTTCATTTTCTAGATGATGTTTGTTCATATTTTCAGTGGCGCGACGTAAAAAAAAAAACAAAAAAAAAGCTGCGGCATGAAGTTCTGTGAGTGTATCGGCCGTTTTCAAAACAGAAATCCGATTACTGTCTGACTCATGTAGACCCAGAGTTTCACCATTACCTGATTACTCAAGTGCATGTAAACGCATTGATCGGATAACTGACAAAATCTGATTTTCTGCAGTTATCGGATTATTAAGTGCATGTAAACGCCTCTGATTAGCTTTACCCTGATTTTCATGTTAATGCAACAGAACAAATCTTCAACAGGAGCCACGGTCAGTGCAGCACGTTCCACAGGACACGATGACGTCTGATTGGCTATTGCAGGGATGAACAAGTCGCTCACTTTGTGTTGCCAGCGATTGCGCGGCTGAGCGTCGCTGGCTCTGATTAAAAATCAGTGACTTATGTCTGCCTTGTCGCTTTCGTTGTTGGCGGTGTGCACACAGGGTTATAGAGCTACTGTTTGTTGGTTGTAATCAGAGAATTGTCCTGTTTCTACATCATACAGCAATATTTAATGATTAACTCTCATCTCCATTCATATTTTCATATCCTTCCATCTCACTTTCATTTTTTTTTACCTTCCCCTTACATTGTTTTGTCTTGTTCTACCATCCCTCCATTGGATACCTCTCCTTCCTCACTCTCACACACACACACACACACACACACACACACACACACACACACGCACACACACACACTGCCTCCTTCTGCCCTTCCTTCACACAATGAACATGTTACATACCTGGAAATGTAACAATGACCCCATTTAATCTCCAAAACCTTTACCCCAATTCCCTAATATTACCCCAAATGCCCCTAAATACCCTCCATATACCTCATTACCCTTGCCACACCCCCTCCAGACCTACGAATGAAGTGCAGGGGAATTAGCGTTGCCCCCAGCCAGTCTGCCGCCAGCCGGATAGCCAGCCAATCAGACGACTTCCCCGGTATTCCAGGTACCCCAAAGCCCCCGGACATTCCTCCATCACTGACAAAACCATCACTCTGTCATTCACTCTCACTTCATCTGATACCTCACCTGCCTACATGCTGTACATCCTCAAACCGGGCGGTGCTCTCTCTGCTGTGAGGATGGCAGTGATGAGTGGGGCTAATAGCTTATTTGATTGGTTGGGTTGAGACTGGGTAATTAACGGCTTTGAACGCTGGCCTGCCTGCTTTGTGTATCAGGATCCAGCATGCACCACAGCAGCAGTTCTTCCATGATGGCGGAGGAAGCCACGAGAGGGGTTGCTGTGGAGAAGTTTGACATGATGAAGAAATGGGGCCTAAACACCTATAAGGTAAGAGTGATGTCAGCATTATCTGCACCAGGGGTCTTTAATTAAAATTCATTGAGGTCCAGTTGGAGGAAATTTCCTCAAGCAAAGGTCCAGAACATCATAATGTTGCTGTGTCTCGCCTCGTCCTTCCCCTGTGTGTGTGAGACTCACTCGAGTCTCAGTGCTCATCGTAATGCACAGATCTGATTGGCTGAGTAGCATCACGTGTGATATCTGTGAGTCTCCTGGGCCGCTAAAGCTACCGTAAAGGCTAGAAAAGTTACGCTGATTAAAATAGGACCACCCCATCGAAATTAAATTCTCCATAGTTTATCGCTTATAGGTCCAGGTCTGCATCTGGGTCCGGATTCGGACCCTGGTCCGCCTACTAGTGACCTCTGATCTACGCAGTGGGTCTCAAGGTAGTTCTGCATGATAAAAGTACATTATTACAATTAAACGAATTATTCAGCACAAACAAGTAAGCACAATTTGCCTTTACCCCAGATAGAGTTTATCAGCCACGACACATTCAGTGTCCAAAGATACTTTTTTTAGTTTTGCACTGGAGCTACCAGGCGAATGTGAGTAATAGAAGCTTATACCCCACAGACTGGCATCATTTACAGTGCTAACTTAAAGCCACCTTCAGCTACAGGTGAAAGTGGAAGAGATCTGATGTTTTTCTTCACATTTGACACAGATTTGTTGTTAAGTGATAGAATGAGCAGCAAAATCTGTAGTAAATCTGACTGTTTCAATTCCAGTTTGGGCCTCTTTTGTATGTAGTGTTAAAACCCGGTCGGTATCCGATACACAGCAGAGTTACCTGAATGGTCAATTAAGAATTCATGTGACTTTTCCGTCAGTCTTTAACTTCAAAGCCTGTTACTATGGTTACACCTCACATCATTCATTTTGGAGGGTCAATAAGACAAACATTGGCACTAGTGATGCATGATATCAGAATCAGCATATCGCTGCTGTCAGAACAAAACCTCCTATCTCCATTTTTGTCGTTTTTCAGTTTTTGATATAATCTGAAAAAGCCTGTTGGCCTTTACATTGTGTGTAAATTTCTTGATGAATGGACCAAAAGAAACGGCCCAAAATGACTTGGAAAAAACTCTGATTCCATTGACTTACATTAAAAGTAAAGTAGGTTTTTTCCTTCCCCTGTAAAGTTACCATTTTAGAGATACAAGGTTTTGTTCCGACAACTGTGATATGCTTGATTTACAGTGTTTAAGTTTGTCCTGTATTTCAGATGTAGTGTAAGTGTGAGGTATGTGCCACGCTGGGCTACTGTGCAAAAATATCTGCATTTGTAACCCTATAGAATACGTAAAGAATATGTTTTATTTCTCTGTAATGCTGATTCAGGTAGGTTTCTCTAATGCAAACTCTGTAGCCACGAATGAAAATCTTTTTCAGACTGAGGAACTTTCTCCCTCCGGCGCAGGAAGTCCCAATTTCTGTGCCTTAGAAATGTTTATGTATTGGCATTGGTATTAGGATCGGCCCATATGTACACAAAAGATAGTGGATACTGGCATCGTCCCACATTTCCCATATCGCTTGGTCCCTTACATTGGATCCCCTGCTTCAGGTATATTTTGAGGAAAAGGGAGGCAAAAGAATCAAAGGAGTCTCACGCAGATTAAGGCCCAATCACATTTCTTATTTTTACCCCTACCCCTTGTTTTCGAGTGTCTCCTTGCCCCTTGGAACTGAGTTACAGGGTAGTGGTTGAAATCCTCCCTCTGAAATGGGACCCTCAAATACAAAGAGCATCACTTCATTAACAGCTACTAGCGCTGCTCTGTAGGCGACCCTGCCAGTCTGCAGTGACAGCAGAGGAGGGTAAAGTTCAGCTCCTCACTGCTGGGCTTCAGTTACATTTAGGGCATCATATGCCTTCAAAGAGGGGGGCAATTATTTATTGTCACCCACCCCTAATTCTTCAGTGATATGAAGCTGAAGTCAGATATTCTCCAGCTTCTTGTTCTAATTTTCCTGTTCCGCCTTAAATGGTGCAGCAGTTTTGATGCCTGAGCTGCCAGAATGTGTGGAATAACTGTGGCACCATTTAAGGTGGAACGGGAAATTTCTCTAGCTAGCTGCCAAGACATCAGCATAGTACTAGCGATTTTCATGCTTGTGAAGAAGAAAAGGACCATAATGCACTGAAATGACATTAAAGTAGCTGTCGGAAGAAAACCTCTCCTTTTTTGTCGTTTTGTAGTTTTTGACATAATTTGAAAATACCTGTTGCCCTTTACATTGTGTGTAAAGTTCATGATGAATGGACTAAAAGAAACAACCCAAAATGACTTGGAAAAAAGTCTGGTTCCATTGACTTACATTAAAAGTAAAGTCGGTTTTTTCCTTCTCCTGTAAAGTTACCATTTTGGAGATACGAGGTTCTTCCGACAACAGCGATATGATTTATTTCACATTTTATTCTTACTAGTTGTCAGAATTTTAATGCTATAAAGTTTGTTCAGTAGGGGGATCAGTGCACTCACTGCTCAACCTCAAACTCCGTCTGTGAGCACAGCCAAGCTGCTGAACGGTGGTGTTTTATTGGCTAACTACGGAAACATCTGCATGGAAAAGGGAGTATAAGGCCTTATTCAGTAAAAGAGCCAGTCTTCTTACTGGTTATGTTGCAACCAGGAAAAGCTTCCTTACAGAAATGGTGTTTGAGCTCAGTGGCACAGCTGAATGAGCCTGTTTACAAAGAAATGACATGTTCAGTCCTTAGTTTTCCTTTCTCACATGCTCTAATGCAGTTGTTCTCAGTCCCACTCGTACAGTGTGTGTTTTATCTGCTCTGTCACCTCTTACTCATCAATTAGTTATAATCTCTGACATGCTGGAGCAGAGAAAAGCTGAACTACGCTGCAGGGCTTCCCCAGGAACTCAGGCTGAAAATAACTTATCCTGTTTTGGCCTCCAGGGGGAGCCAAACACCCCCAAAAATCTACGTAACTACTTCTAAGCTTTTTAAATATGGTGCGGATATGTTCGTGATCTCAGGTTTCTAAACAAAGGCTCAGATATTTTTGTCATGTTTTCTTATTTGCTATTCTGATGAAAGTGATAAGAGGTGTTTGTATAGGGGTTTATAATAAGAGCACTGTCTTACTGGAGTTATGGGGGCAGACCTGGCAGAGGGTGAGTTCTCCAGAAATTGTGCTTGCCCAAACGTGCAGATGTCCGTTTTACTATCTTGGGAGTTGTCTTGTTTGATTTTGATAGATTTCCCATAAAAACAGGTTGGTGTGGCTACATCAGAAGTGGGCAGAAATTTTGACTCAGGCCCAAGTAGCAGTTTCAAAATGTACCAAGAGGCTTTTATTTAGCTCATAAAAGTGCAGTATAACTTGATAAGCTCATAAAGGCTGTAATGTTTTACCTGTTTATGGAAGACTAGTAGAAGATACTTATGCCTGAAAGAGAGAAGTGACAGATAGACATTTCTAAAATGTGACCTGGTTAAAAATACATAGGTAATTAATGTGGTTGCCAATAATTAATATTGTTTTCTTTTTAAATATGTGAGTAGAAACAAAAAGTAATAGCTATAATTCTTTCAAGGAGTTTTACATAAGCATTTATGACTCTACTTGAAGCAATAAACCTCATACAGTCAGTGTAGACAGAGGAAAATCGCTGTTGTCGGAAGAAAACCTCGTATCTCCATTTTTGTCGTTTTTCAGTTTTTGACATAATTTGAAAATGCCTGTTACTCTTTACATTGTGTGTAAATTTCACAATGAATGGACTAAAACAAATGACCCAAAATGACTTGGAAAAACGTCTGGTTCCATTGACTTACATTAACAGTAAAGTAGGTTTTTTCCTTCTCCTGTAAAGTTACCATTTTGGAGATACAAGGTTTTCATCAGACAAAAGCGAAAGGTAACATGGTTTCACTGCAAGTCTGGCTTTCTCTGTTTGAGGTTAAGTTCGGTGTGTCCCACACCCACGCTGGGCCTGCACCTCCATCAGTGAAAATAAGGAAGTTTTTGGCATCTGAACAGATTGGAACGTTTGTATTGCTCAACAGAAGCTTGTGTGTGAAGCTGTTTGAGAGAACAATGTAAAGACATGGATGCCTGCTTGTGTGAAAGATGGAGCTTTCAAAAGAAATGCATTCTTACAGATTGACATCTGTTTAATATTTTGCTTTTAAGCACAATGTGCAGTCAGATGTGTTCTTAGTCTGGTAAGCATGTTACACATCACCAGATTTCAAAAGGTCCAAACTGACTAGATTATTAAAGATCTCAGATATGGAGCACCAAAGCTGCCCAGATTTTGTTTTTCCATAACATGGGAAACTTGTATCTCTGTATCTTCTATTTTTGGTAGTTAAACACAGCATAACCCGAAGAATAATCCCTGAACTGTGCGTGCATCTGCCATCAATATATCAGAAGGGTACCACTTTATTTGGGTGGTCCACTTTAGATATTTTGTGGATACTCAGTCCATCTTTAAGTAACATTTAACCTCTTATGCTTGTAGGTATATTTTGGTTTGTCTCATCTGAATTTCCATGCCTAAATCATAAGGCAAATTATTCAGTAACTGCATTAAAATAAATGTGATTTTTTAAAATTAATTTATTTTTTGTAAAAGCTCAATTCAAATTAACTGAAAATGTGTTTTATGATTGTAAACGTAATGCCATATGCTGACAATTTAGCTAGAAATCTTAGACGCTCTTTGTATTATTTTATAAAAATCATTTTTACAGTGCAGATCACTGAAGAGACGCCATCTGAGATCCAGTTTAGAGCTCAGATTTGTGCCAAATGGGTCGACTTTCAGTAGAAAAAAAAATTGTGAGTTCAGCTTCTTTTATTATAAGGGTTTAAAATCACATCACCCATCTATTTGACTGGAAAGAAGACAGTTACAGCTCTCATATGACCCCCACCTTTAGAATGTAGCTTATGAAATATGAAAGTTATGAAGTAAAGAATATGACGAAGTGCACCGGTGGTTCTGCGGAGTTAAAGAGGCTAACTAAATATCTATTAAATGCAACTTAAAGTTGAATCTGATAGATTCTGTCAAATCTATCCCTAACCTTAAACCTAACCCTAATCTTAACTGTAATATAAGACCTACACTCCTAAACCTTACCCTCACCGTACTGTATGTGTTGTTGAGAAGTGAATATCACCAGAGTTAGTTAATAATTTTAGTGTCTTTAGATCGTCTATAGGGAACCATCCAAATAAAGTGTGACCTTCAAAAGAAATGACCTTCCGTTTTTCCGTAGCACTCATTTTAAGGCAAGGTTTAAAGGGCACACTGACTTTTTTACCTTCCGTATTTCGGTTTCCCAGATCCAAGTTAAGGCCTAATCCTATTTCACCCCTGGCCCCTACCACTTAGCCCTACCCCTCCGTTTTGCATGTTTAGGGCTAGGGGTAGGGTGTCCTGATTCTTGTTGAGATAGAGGGGGAGGGTGAAGTGTTGGGGCTACATGACCCTCCAAACTGAGGTTTTTCAGAGACTCCAAACAGAGAGTTATGAGAAAAAAAGAAAAACTAGCAAGACGGCTGAACAAGAGACCAAAGAAACACACAAATGTGAGAATTTTCTCTGTTAAAAAATTACGAAAACCACTGTATTATCTTAGTTTAATGTCGTTTCAGTGTATTATGGTCGTTTCTTCATGACATGCATAAAAATCACTAATTGTATGCTGATGTCTCGGTAGCTAGCTAAATTTCCTGTTCCACTTTAAATGGAGCAGCAGTTACATTCTGGCGCCTTAGGCATTAGAACTGCTCCTCCATTTAAGGTGGAACGGGAAAATTCAAACAAGAACCTGGTGAATATCTGACTTCAGCTTCATATCACTGAAGAACTAGGGGTGGGTGATAATAAACAATTGCCCCCTCTTTGAAAGCATATGATTCCCTAAATGTAACTAAAGCCCAGCAGTGAGGAGCTGAACTTTACCCTCCTCTGCTGTCACTGCAGGCTGGCAGGGTCCCCTACAGAGCAGTGCTAGTAGCTGTTAATGAAGTGATGCTCTTTTTATTTGAGGGTCCCATTTCAGAGGGAAGATTTCAACCATTGACCCTGTAACTCAGTTCCAAGAGGCAATGCGACACTTGAAAACAAAGGGTAGGGGTAGAAATAAGAAATATGATTGGGCCTAAGTCTATGTCTATACTAAAAAAAAATTGAAAATTCTTTATTGGCACTGAAATTTAGTCATATAGTAATAAAAGTTTGGGATTTTAACCTGAAAAAAGGGGAAAAAATGTTACAATTCACTGCATTTTTGTAAACCACTTACTTTCTAGCTCCCAGCTTTCCAAAATGTTCTTTTCTTTGCCATGTTCCTCCCTAAAGTCAGTGGTGGTGTCTGTTTTGGCCTGTCCCATTCCAGTGCACTAAGCAGCTGATCTCTGAGCGGTTCGGGAGAGGCTCGCGGACTGTGGACCTGGAGCTGGAAGCTCAGATCGAGGTGCTGCGGGACACAAAACGGAAGTACGAGAACGTGCTGCGCCTGGCCCGCGCGCTCACCAACCACTTCTACAGCATGGTGCAGACGCAGCACGCGCTGGGAGATACCTTCGCTGACCTCAGCCAGAAATCTCCGGAGCTGCGGGTGAGCTGGATTCAGTCATCATTAGATAGATGGATGGATTGATGGATCCCCAAGAGTGTTTCAGTAGCAAGACATATAATTGCACATACACTTAGATATACTATGCAGAAAAATAGAAATACATCTAGACATAAGTTAAAGTACAAAACAAATACAATAAAAGTATATATTTGCATATTTACGTGGCATATGAGACAGATTTGTTGTATTTACATGACAGCAGGCACTGAATGGAATGAGGTTAACTAAAAGCACAGATTATAGACATAACTAACTCTGAGTTGCATCAATATTACAGTGTAAAGTGCATATTGAGAGTCATTACAGTAGTAGTTATGATATATTGCACAGTGTGTATTAATCAGAGAGGAGATACAGTGAATATAGAATGACAACGAAGCTAAACTGAGATTACGTTAATGCTGTGAGAATGTTAATGCTGTGAAATTCTCTTGAGGTCTTGTGTGGAACAGCGTTGTAGTTCAGGGCTGTTTTGACTGCTTGTCTCTTTAATTTGCTACTGTTTTTTAATACAGGATGAATTTGGCTACAACGCAGAAACCCAGAAGCTGCTGTGTAAGAATGGAGAGACCCTGCTGGGCGCCATCAACTTCTTCGTATCCAGCATCAACACGCTTGTCAATAAGACTATGGAGGACACGCTCATGACCATCAAGATGTATGAGAACGCAAGGTAAGAGATCCGGTTGTAAATGTAAATAGCTGATAGATGTGGGCATGTACCTTTAAAGCATATTTACATTGGGCTAATAATCATCCTTTATGTTCACAGTGTTCATAGTGGTGATGATAGGAACCAGACATCTGAAGCTTTAATGCTTCTGAAAGACACCTCATATTAACTTATTGCAACAGTTGGTTACAATTGCGCTGCTTGAGACATTGTTTTGCGAAAGGTTTGAGAAGCTTTTGGATTAAAGCCTAAACATTTATTCATGGTGGTAGAGCTGAACGATTAATCGTTTTTATATCGATCAATTTTAAAGAGTGCAGTTTTCAAATTGCAAGAGCTGCAATTTTTTATCATACTCTTATAGTCTATTTTCAACTACACTTATTAGAAAGACGGTTCTTCAAGGGTTCTTTAGTAAAGAAAATAGTTCTATATAGAACCGTGAACACCTCAAAGAACGCTTTGCATGATTAAATGGTTTCTTGCATCATGAAAGTGTTCTTCAGACTGATGGAGAATGTGCTGTAGATGGTTCTATACAGCACCCAAGAGGGTTCTTCTATTGTTTTGGTGTCAAGGTAGTAACAGTAGCAGAACCCTTTTGGGTGCTATATAGAACCATATACAACACAATCACAATGCAAAAAAACATTTAATCAGGCCAAGGGTTTCTTGAGAGTTCATAGTTCCACATAGAACCATTTTCTTTATTAAAGAACCTTTAAAGAACCGTCTTTTTAAGTGTGAATGTTGATACGTTGTGAGTTTTAAGTAGGGAAATTTAACCTAATCACACGGAGCTCGTGAACTGCTTTTAGATGAATTTGACGAATCAGAAGCAACGAAACAACCGTGTGCTGTGACATCACAACCGCAAATAACTGGGAGGCTGGTGCTCCGTGTTAAGAGTTCAAGCCTCAAGCCAGAAACGTATACGCTGGTCTTCTTAGTCAAAAAAAGACTCAGACATCAGTTTATAGAAAACATTCGCAACTTAAATCATAATCGCAATATTGGACAGAAAAATCGCAATTAGATATTTCGCCAAAATCGTTCAGCCCTATATGGTGGATGGGTACATCCAACTCAGAAAACGTGTAGGTTCACTGGTCATTTAGATAGTAAATAAAATAGCCATATTTGCATTGTAGATATTGCAACCCCTTTAGTTCCTGTCACCATCACTGTAAAGAGAGTTTTTCTACTTTATTATTTATTCTATTTATTATTACTGAACAGTGAACTTTAAATATCAGCAATTGAATTATAAAAAAAAATTAAATCGGTGGATTTCCCCTTCAACATGTATGTTACTGATAATTTGTTATGGGCGGGAGGTTAGGGAACCAGCCTTGCGACCGGAAGGTCGCCGGTTCGTTCCCCTGAGCCGACAGTATGTGACTGAGGTGCCCTTGAGCAAGGCACCTAACCCCCAACTGCTCCCCGCGCGCTGCGGATAGGGCTGCCCACCGCCTTGGGCAAGTGTGCTCACTGCCCACTAGTGTGTGTGTTCACTAGAGTGTATGTGGTGTTTCACTGCACGGATGGGTTAGATTACGGAGGTGAAATTTCCCCGTTGTGGGACTGATAAGGGTCACTTAATCTTAATCTTAATCTTAATAGTCCTGGAGTTGTACTGGGGCGCAGCACTGTATTGAGTAAAGGTGTTAGATTATTCCAGTGGCAGAGAAGTTTGTGTTGAACAAATCCAACCAAAAGTAAAAACAACTGTACTAGTGCAGTCAAATCTGCCCTCAGCTTAAAGCTCACAGTGCTTAGAATTTTAAAGATGTTTTTAGTTGAATATGCAGTAACTGATATGTGTGGATCATAGGCGTAAAAATAAGAGTAAAAAGTTTTGTTTTGTTTTTTTTTTGTTTGTTTTTTTTTTAAAGGAAGTTTTTCTCTGATAAGCAAATGTTATGATCCACTTTCTCTCCCTTACTCTTCCCCTGCCCTGCTCACCCCAAAGCCATGCAGTAGCTGTGCTTAGGGCTTGCACACACACACACACACACACACACACACACTAGAGCCAGATACAGTGTGACTGTGTGGTGCGGTGGCTCCAGTAAGTAGCACAGACGAGGATTTCTTATCACTCAGCACCGACACATTACAGTCGTTAGCAGCAGTCCTCATTGTTGCTGCGCTGAATCACAGACCACTCTTCATGTTGTTATTGTAGTTCGTTTTGTGGTTTGATTGATTTGTGCGGCCCCAGTCCGCTTTTGCTTTGTGGTAAAGACCTTGAGGCTCACCGTACACACAGCCACAGTCTTCCAGCACTTCAGTGGGTAAAAAACAGACGGGATCATTTATAAGGTTCTACTCAGGATAAAGCCTGTCCGTGATCTGCAACAAGCTCTGACATATTAAAGTGATAAGATATGCAAGAGCCTGCGTGATTTTACCGCTCATTTTACGGCTCATGCTCAAGTTTTTATAGTCCTTTTTATATTTCACTTACATTGTGAACACAAAAAGAACTGAGGTCATTTGCAGTTGGTTCCCTTTCAGGTTCACTTTAACTCAGTTCGGTTCTTTTAAAATGAGCTATGTGTGAAAACACTGTAAAGCTCTGATCCTAGAATTGCCCCTGGTGTGGAGTATCAAAAAAATTAAAAAAAATCGAAATTAAATTGTTGTGCTTCTCTAATAACTGACGTCTTATTATGTTGTATATACTTCTGTCTTAATTCTGCTTTTGTCTCCTGTTCTCCTTTCCTGTCCTCTAGGCTGGAATTTGATGCCTACAGAGCTGATCTGGAGGAGCTGAACCTGGGGCCTCGAGACGCCGTCACCATTGCCCGCATCGAGGCTGCGCAGCAGCAGTACCAGATCCACAAGGACAAATACGAGCGACTCCGCAGTGACGTCACCATCAAACTCAAGTTCCTAGAAGAAAACAAGGTGCTGTGTCCTCTCTTGTTATTGGTTAATTAAGCAATAGAACACAGAGGGAGTGTGTTATTGTGAAATAACATCATTTGATTTGGTCGCCGTACATCATTACAGCTGTGATGTTATTGGCGATAACACACTCCCTCTGTGTTCTATTGCTTTAATACAACAGTTAAATAAATAAAGTAATAAATTAATAAACTGGGCCGTGAACGCGGCGTTTAATATGTTTTAATGTTCGCAGTTCCTTCACCAAATTATAGTTCCTTAACGAGCAGCTTGCTGCTACGTCAGAGTAACAAACTCCGCCCACTCGCTGCACAGCCTGCTGTAAGCCTCGCCTTTTGAAGTACTGAGCCATAAAACTGCCGCAATATCAAGTTCAGCTCAGTTTTGTCAGTTTTTGCCAGATCAGTATTAATGTTGTTTTGTTCCAGCCAGTCTGTAAAGCATCTTACAGCCCATTTAGTTTGGCGAATGGTGTTGGGTTTATTTCTGGCTGATTCCAGGTTGTTTAGCTGTTCTTCTGTCACAGCTGCCGACTGAAAAGCTGCTCAGTGGTGATGACAGTTTGGGAATTTAGTGTCGTCTCATCTTCAGAGTCTGACCAAATCGGCTGTCGGTCAAATGTGATCTTAAAAGTGTCCATTTTCTGTTTGTGGCAAAGTAAGAAGTAAAAACGTTCAAATGGCTTGAGCGTCTCCTACAGCTGTCAAAGTCGTTGCTTAGCAACGGCGTCTCAGCGGAGCGGTACAGTGTTTGTGAAAAACCTGTGATGTTATGGTGAAATAACAGCACAGTTAGAACACTTCTCAACCAATCAGATTGCGTGGCCGGAACTAACTGTTGTGTAAATGTCTGTAACATTAAAAAGTATTATAATGCACGTCTGACATCTGAACAGACATCATGGACTGAAATGGTCACGACATACACTTGTCATATGAATCGTTTTTATTTTGTTCAATAATAACTAGGGGTGCGTTATGTATTAGTGGCAAATCTTGAATTGATAAAAAGTGAAATTTCATTATTATTATTATTATTATTATTATTAATAGTATTATTATTGGTTCAGTATTGTTATTCCAGCAGTGTAAGTGCTTCTTTAGTGTCCCTTCTTTAGTTCACAGACACTAGTTCTTGGTGTTATACAGCTTTTTCAGTTGTTTTATATGATCTACAGCTCTGTTTGTCGTTCTGGACCGGAGTTTATATTGGTTTAAAATTTGCATTTTTTTTTGTTTTCACATTGTATTTTACTTTGTTTGATTTCCCTCAGGGAGGGTGCCACAGTGTGGTTGGCATTATTTCCTTTTAGCATTTGCTTTAGTAGAACCGCTCCATTCCCTTTTACAGTCGCTGCCAGCAGGTACATATCTGCTTTAGTCAGAAACCGGCTCGTACTCAAACTGATCGCAAGCTGCTATCGCTGCTGTTGGAAGAAAACATCGTATCTCCATTTTTGTCGTTTTACAGTTTTTGACATAATTTGAAAATGCCTGGTCCTCTTTATATTGATGAATGGACCAAAAGAAACGGCCAAGAATGACTTGGTGAAAAGTCTGGTTCCATTGACTTACATTAAAATTAAAGTAGGGTTTTATTTTTTTGTTTTATTTTAATAGTTTATTTTCTCTGAAATTCTGTTTTATTTTCATTTATGTTGTAGTGGACATAGTAGTTTTTTTTTTTTCATTTAGCTTTTTTGTTTTGTTTTATGCCAATTTAATTTTTGTTAAGGTCACGTCTGTATTTCTCTGTTTCCTACTAATTATTTTAAGTCTTTGTAGAATACTTCCATCATGTTAGAAATGTGTTTGTACATTTACTTACAACAGATTTGGTTTTTATAGTATTAAAAATTATTCCACCCATGGCCGGGAGTCCAAGACAGCACAGTTGGCCTCATTCTCGTGGATAGGATGGCCCCTCCTTCTCCCCCCATCACTCAGTGCGATGCCAGTCAGTGCCGTCGTCTGTTAGCTGACGTAACAGATCTGGCGGTTGGCGCTTTCCTCCGAGCGCGTTCGGCTGTCCAGTGACGTTGCGTGAGCGGCAGTTCGAAAGATGCGGTGGAGCTTCACAGGCCTCGGAGGAAGACTGTGGTAGCCTTCGCCCTCCTAGAGCTGGTGGTATTGTGTGACTGGGGGAGTCCTGACTAGCGAAATGGAATTGGAGATGACTAAATTGGGAAAAAATAAAAAAGATTCCCAACTTTTAAAGTGTATGTAATGTATTCTAGTAAGCTTAGAGAGGTTGACACTGTTTTCTGATATTTCTGATATTCTAAAGGCACACTGAACATTTGCCCTCGCTGTATTTCTCACTGTTTCATGTTTTTCTCGTTCTTCTCGCAGGTGAAAGTGATGCACAAGCAGCTTCTTCTTTTCCACAATGCCATCTCTGCCTACTTCGCTGGGAACCAGCAGCAGTTGGAACAGACCCTCAAGCAGTTCAACATAAAGCTCAAACCGCCAGGAGCCGACAAACCGTCCTGGCTGGAGGAGCAGTAAAAGTGCCCGTAGTGCCCTCTGGCTCCGCCCCCCCTTTCCTTTCAACCTGTTTAACCAGACAGAGCAAGCACCAGCCCCAGTCATGCAGTCTAGCCTATACAGCACCATGGCAGCAAGAGGATGCCCGTCCTATAGCTGCTGTAGAAGAGAGGGGCTACTGCCTTTTTTCAACTTTCTCTCCTCCTCTACACCTCCGTCTCTTTCTCTCCCTTTGCCCTGACATTGTGTTTGATCATGAGAATAAGCATCACTCCTATCTTACTCTTTCCAAAGGCTGTCATGTTTTGAGTTTGAATGCGAGTCAACCCAATGGTCAGTGGAAACTGACCGAAATTTCCAGGGAACAACCTGTGGGCATCAATCCGAGCTCCTGTAGACTTCAAACTTCTCTCTCCAACCCCAGTGACCACATGAAGAACTTTTTTTCCAAAAAGTTTTTTTTTTTTCCCCCTCCAAATGCGAGGTTTTCACTTGTGGACCTGGACTTGTAGATGTCAAGAAGACTGAACACTCCGATTCTGAATTTTCAAAGAATGAATTTCTAGGCGGGTTCTGGGTGACAATAGATCTGTGTTATTTATTTTCATAAATGTCCAGCTAAATATTGAACATTGTACATTTACCTTATAACGAACATCTGTGTGTGTTTACCAGATCCCATGATGCAGAAGGGAATGTTCGTAACTGTTGTTAATCATAGGCTACGTTCACATTACCAGGCTGAAGTGGCACAAATCCGATTTTTTTGCCCTAATGTGACTCAGATCTGATGTTTTCAGGGTTGTGTGGAGACGCAAGTCTGATCTTTTCAAATCCGACCTGAGCCACTTTCATATGTGGTCGTAGATCAGATACGTATCCGATTCGTGGCCATGCGACCTTAATGTGACGCTCAGATCGGAATTCATGTGCTTTTCTTCCACTGCGCCATCATTCAGCGTTACCATGGCAGCAGCGCCGAACAGAAGTAAAAGCCTGTAAACGGTGGAAAAGCAGCTCATCTCACCTTTTTCTCCTTCGTCTTGCTCTAATAATGAAGCTGAGAGCTGATCAGAGTTAATTATCTTCTCAGCGAAGCTCGTTCTGCTCGTTAGTTTGTGCTGATGATGCACGTGATTCATTCACGTGACGTTACTGAGTAGGATGAGCTCATGAGGGTCATTTCAGGACGCCGGTTCGTCACATTAATGACAGATTTGAGTCACTTACCTAAACGAGTGTGAACCATCCTGTCAGAGAGATCGGATTTGAGGAAAAAATCAGATTTGAGCGACAAGGCTTGTAATGTGAACGTAGCCATATTGGTACAGAAACACTTGTGCGGGTTTAGTGCTTTTACATCATTGGATTCTTAATCGAACTTATTCATGTCAGTCTTTGAAATCGTGTCATTTACATTTCTTTGTTGCAGTTTAAACGTTGGCATCTCTGAAATGACAACCATGTGTTCATGCTGAGGTCTTCGATTTCATGAAGTAGTGAGTAACGTAGCTTTCGGAAATCCTCAAAACGTTGTAATGGAGCGTTTTGGGTGAAACGTTTTGTGCCTGCTGCTATCTTTGCATTTCAGATCTACTCTCCAACAATTTAGTGGAAAATCAAAAATTGTCAGTGGAACTATATTGTATGTTGTACAATAGGCCTTTGGACACACACCGATCAGGCATAACATTATGACCACTTCCTTGTTTCTACACTCATTGTCCATTTTATCAGCTCCACTTACTGTATAGGTGCACTTTGTAGTTCTACAGTTACAGACTGTAGTCCATCTGTTTCTCTGCATACTTTGTTAGTGTGTGTTGTGCTGGTCTGAGTGGATCAGACACAGCAGTGCTGCTGGAGTTTTTAAACACTGTGTCCACTCACTGTCCACTCTATTAGACACTACCAACCTTGTCAGTCCACCTTGTAGATGTAAAGTCAGAGCCGATAGCTCATCTGCTGCTGCACAGTTTGTGTTGGTCGTCCTCTAGTCCTTCATCAGTGGTCACAGGACGCTGCCCACAGGACGCTGTTGGCTGGATATATTTGGTTGGTGGACTATTCTCAGTCCAGCAATGACACTGAGGTGTTTTAAAAACTCCAGCTGCTGCTGTGTCTGATCCACTCAGACCAGCACAACACACACTAACAGACCGCCACCATGTCAGTGTTACTGCAGTACTGAGAATGATCCACCGCCCAAATAGTACCTGCTCTGTGAGGGTCCCTGGGGGTCCTGACCACTGAAGAACAGGGTAAAAGGGGGCTAACAAAGTATCAGAGAAACAGATGGACTACAGTCTGTAACTGTAGAACTACAAAGTGCACCTATACAGTAAGTAGAGCTGATAAAATGGACAATGAGCGCAGAAACAAGGAGGTGGTCATAATGTTATGCCTGACCGGTGTAGTTTCGATACAATGCCAGTTTGGGTTCAGTGCCCTTTGGTTTAGATGCCTGTTAGGACAGAGTGGGGTATTCAGACAATTTCCAGGGCCGGTCGTTCCCAAAAGCAACAGTGGGAAGATGTATTTGTCGCTGGACATTACATATTGAACTGCCAGGGCACCTGCCAGTCTGAGGGCGTTTAGTCTGTGTTTGCTGTGGTAAATTTCTGTGGTTTTATGTACTAATTTCTGTATGATCGTTTGTATATTTGTTACTTTAAGTTAACAATCAGAGGTTAATCAGAGAATTGTAGTGTAGAGTCGTCTATATGATTTATTGTTTGTGCTTTGATTAGTCCTGACCAGTGGTTTAGACCATCATTTGTCTTGTGCTACAGTGTCCTGAGTTTTCAGTGGCACATTTTCCATTGGGGGCGCGTCGGTTTTGCCTCCAACATCTCATCCAGAAAACATTTTTATTATTATTATTTACCCATAATCATGTGCAGATAGTCACAATGAAGAGCCCACAGACTCAGCAAACTGATGTTAATCTCATGACCTCCTACACAAAAGTTGTATTTAAAATTAGAGCATTGGTGTAACTGCTAACATATAAAATATGGTTCACATTACAGTTCATTGGTTGTATTTACTTGTCATTCATGTCTGTTCAGATGAGTCTGTAATTTGTTTATTAAGCAAAAAATGATTTTTTACACATTAAGAAAAATACACCCTGTCAAAACTGGTAAATAGGGATGCACTGATTATGGGAGCTGTGGGCTGATTCTGGTACCAAATACTTTTCACTTAGCTGTTGATGCTACATGAATAAAATGTAGAAATTGGGACTAAATCCGCCTGGATTGGCGCAACAGAGAAACCTGAAATTTATTTCTAGGGGCTTGAAAATGCGGTAAAATAAATAGAAAACAGGCATTTTACAGTAAATGCCCAGCATTCCCTAAACATTCTGCACTTCCAGAGTAAAATAAATGCATCCTCAAATATCCAACTGAAAGATCAGTCAAATCTGTCTGATGTTGACCATTTTTAATGATCATCTGCCCAAACCGATATGAATAAAGATTCTGAAATGCTTCTTGACATGGATGTACATGTTTAGGACCTTTAGTTGATGTAGAACTGAAAAGGATCTTCACACTCCATTTCTTTAAAGAACCATCCGTTCTTAAGTGAACCAAAAGTGGTTCTTCTGTGCTCCAAACCTTTAAGAGTGTACAGTACACTCTCAGAAATAAAGGTACCAAACTGTCACTGGATCAGTGCCCCTCTTGTCACTGGGGTGGAACCCTCAGGGGTCCATCTCAGTACCTTTAGTCAGGGAACATAACTGAACCATAATCCACTGAAATGATATGTTCTAAGCTGTACTGACTCCACACACCCCGTCTCGTCTCCAGGCTTTTATTTTACTGTTCTGTTTTAAAACATTCGGTTATGAAAAGGTACAAATACAAACTTTTCACCTGGAAAAACTTATTTAAGGGGCACAACTGGACCTTAAAACCACTGTTGTACCTTTGAGGGAACACTTACACTGTTTGTACCTTGATGAATGAAACTTGTACCTGTACAGAACCTTTATTTCTAACAGTGTATGGTTTAGATCTGTGCAGAGGTTTTAACTAGAACTGAGCTACATTTAGTCAAACTTAAACACAACTATGATAATGAAGGAACCCTTAAACACTACACTTTGGGTGTTTGAGCCCATAAGGAAGCAATACTTTTCGAGAAACACTAGATTTCAGTGCTGTCTGCATTGGCGCATTTGTTTTGTGTGGCTTTTTTAGTGACTTTAGTTGGTCATTTCTTCTGTGCTTCATTCTTCATTGTGTCCTTCATTTCACAACCAGTGCTGATCTGATGAAGGTAAAGCGGTGCGGGTATTTTCTGTTGAATGTTGAAAAAAATGCCCTGGTTTAGGTTGAATGTCAAGCATCAGAGAGTTGGTCACAATGGTCAGAACGTTTTTTTCTCACTCTTTCTCTCCTTTTTGAACTTCGTTTTTGAAATCCAACTTGTATTTTTGCTAGAATGAGTGCAGTGTTCGAGCGCACGCATGTGACAGAGTGTTTCTGTACGTCATCTTTATTTTCCTAGTCTTAAAACTCTACCGAGAGTGATTACGTAGAGCGAGAGAAGCATTTGCCTCTACCAACAAAGTCCGAAAGGAATCCTGCAATGAAGGACTGTTTGTTATTCAGCAATATGAACTGACCTTCTGAATTACTTGAGCCGAGTCTAAATTCTGGCCCAAGTTCAAACCGCAACCTTTTTTTCCTAAATGAATTTGTCTCTTCTGTTTTCTTTCTTTATTTTAATGTCTTATTAATGCTAATCGAATGATTTAACACTGGAATGAGACCCTCTTTAAAGGAATTGTCCACTGAAAAGTCAACACTGGCTAATGTAATAAAAGTCTGTCACCCAAAAAGATCACATTACTCATTAGCTACATTCACTATGTGTGTCCAGTACAAAACTAAAGAAGGAAAGCTTGTTGTCTCGGCTGTTTGACTTGAAAAAGTTATGTACATTTGATTTTTCAGTGAACTACTCCTTTAACGCCACGTCTCAGACCCTAGTGGACTGAGGGTTAATGATATATTGACAAGCATACAATCGATATTCTAGGCTGCTCTGTGTTGCTGTAGTTTATGAATGACTGTGTATAAAATGTAAGACCAGACAGAAACTGGATTTCCATGATTTGCCTGTATTCCTACCTGACCAATCCCCCAGGAATACGGCAGTTATGTACCAGAGCCCACAAGATAAAATTTGAAATGTTTGCAAAAAAAAATAAATTAACGTTGTCTGTGTTTTTTTCATTGATTTTAGTTCCAATAAGTGTTCAGAAAGGACCAGTCAGCCATGACATCAAAGCCTCCTCCATGTTTCTACACTCACTGTCCGTTTTCTCAGCTCCACTTACCACTTTGTAGTTCTACAACCCCAAATCAGAAAAGATGGTATATTAAAATTAAAACTGAAAACATTGATTTGTGAATTATTTTTGACCTAGGGTCTTTTTACAGAAAATCTTTTCAGAATCTTTTTGTCTTAACTTAAGTTCTGACAGGTCAAGATAAGATTTTTCACAAATTAGTATTACAGAAGCAAATCTGATCTTATTTCAGGAATCTTATCTTACAGCATCTTTTCTTATCTTAAGTTAATAAAGTCGTAATATTTGGAGGATAAGGTGGGCTAACTGTAGGGGGGCTATGAAAACTGTGTTTTCTTAACCCTTGTGTGGTGTTCCGGTCTGTGGGACCCATTTTCAATGTTTACCAAAAGATAAAATGATGTGATTTATTATTATTTCAGCCTCAGATTCTTGGCCTTTGCTCATTTTCTGTGAAGAACATATAAAATAACCCATTTTCAGTGTCTTCACTCTGTTCACCCCCCACACATTTATATTACACGTGTGGTGTTGGGTGAACCTGCGGGGAGTAAAAGTGTGGAGGTGCTGTGTCCTTCACTCTGTTCTCCTCCTACATGGCCTGCTGTTAGTGTGTGTGTGTTTGTATATGTGTGTGTGTGAGGGTGGACAACATGGACAGGCTGCTGACTGGCTACAGCTGCTAAAGGAGAACCCTACGCTGGACACTTGTGATATTTTAAACATCTGGTGTTTTTACATAAACTGTTATGGCTGTATTGATTTAATAAAACAATAATGTGGTGGGTCCAGCAGACCACTGAGTAACAAACACATCAGCACCACACAAGGGATAAGAAGGTTGGTGAATGAGGCCCAGTGTTTTTAAACATTTCAGTAATTTTCTTATGCATGTGTTGTGCTGGTCTGAGTGGATCAGACACAGCAGTGCTGCTGGAGTTTTTAAACACTGTGTCCACTCACTGTCCACTCTATTAGACACTCCTACCTTGCCAGTCCACCTTGTAGATGTAAAGTCAGAGCCGATAGCTCATCTGCTACTGCACAGTTTGTGTTGGTCATCCTTTAGTCCTTCATCAGTGATCACACTACTGCAGCGCTGCCATGTCTAATCCACTTGTACCAGCGCAACACACTAATACACCACCACCTTGTCAGTATCAACACACACTTTATAGATACTTTTAGATGTAAAGTGTGCCAGGAATGTAGTCTGTATTACAAATTACAGCACTGATAAAACTGTCCCTCTGACCTTAGACGTCTATGTGATCCCCTCCTGAAGGGGGCGATAATCTGTAAAGTTAAAGGGGTACAACACCAATTTTTAAAAATTTCTGCATAATTAAATGGCTTAAATTTTAACAAAGTCATTCAAAGTGGTTTGGTTTAAAATGCTTCGTTCTACAGAAACTTACCGAGTCAGAACTGTTCACAGTGGTGGTGATAGGAACCAGACGTCCACCTCTAAAAGCTCCCTCACAGAAATTAGTACATGAAACTTAAGCCGATGCTCAGCCTCAGTTTGAGACATTGTTTTATTGTAGTTTTGTGATTGATTATGTAAAATGTATTTTAATCACTTTATTTTAACCTATCCATGGTGGATGGGGGCGGCATGGTGGTGCAGTGAGTAGCACCGTCGCCTCCCAGAAGGGTCTGGGTTTGATTCCCAGCGAGGTGACCAGAGTTCTTTCTGTGTGGAGTTTGAATGTTCTACCTGTGTGTGCGTGGGTTTCCTCCAGGTGCTCCAGTTTCCTCCCACAGTCCAAAGACATGCAGTCAGGTGAGCTGAAGATGCCAAATTGCCCCTAAATGTGCATATGATTGTATATGTCTCTGCGCCTGCCCTGTGATAGACAGGTGACCCATCTAGGGTGTTTCCTCCTTTCAGGCTCCAGCGACCCAAAAGGAGTTTGTGTGTGTGTGGTAGATGAATACATGAAGGGTGTTCTAAGGCAAAATAGCCCCTTATTTTTTCCTGATTTATTTTACCATCATTAACATTACATATACAACTCAGAAGACACGTGTAGGTCCACTGGTGGATCTAGATAGTAAGTGAAATGTCTATATTGTGTTGTAGAACATCAGGACTCCTGGTTCCCATCACCACCACTGTAAAGAAATCTGAGTCACGTTTCTCTACTAATGAATCATTTCACATCTGAACGACTGCATCATGCAGGCATTTTGAAAAACTGGGTGGAATTCCCCTTCACATGGCAAAATCGCGCATGCGTTCCACTGGCCTGAAACTGCGGTTGTACATCTGCGGCCCGCGCGCAGGTGAGTGGCTGTGTGAGAGGAGGGGGCGTGGCCACGCGCATCGATAAAGCGCCTTCGTCATGAGTTGATGGCGTTTGTCAGGTTTTAAGAGCTGCAGCGGTTCTGGATGTCAGTTAGAACCTCCCACGTTTCGCTGTGTAGCTGCTCTCGGGCTCTTCCACCGCAGGTATGTGTCTTTGTGGAGCTCTGTGTTTTATTGAATGCTGTTCCTTCATCGCATAACCTCGTATTTTTGGCAAAAACCTCGCTCCCTTCAGTGACTTGCTAGCAAATTGGGGGTAGTTTTTAGGCTCTAAGCTGTCGAAATAAACCTCATTCCCTTTCACTTTAGCTTTCCCACTTGGACCTTGAGGAAAAGTTTTATTCATACTGCCCTAAAACTGTGAAATGTGTGGAATATTTTAAGTTTGAAGCCTCTAGTCTGTATTTTAGTGTTGGCTCTGTAGGTCCTCCTGTGGTGTAGTTAACACCGAAAAGGCTGCACTGTATTTGTAGCTCCAGCTCCACATACAGTTAATGTAGGCCTACACATACAGCATGAGGTCATTTTGATGGGGCTGCGCAGCTCATGGTGCCTGTTGGCTGCCTGTAGCTTTCTACAGGGACACCAATCATGCAAAGCAGTCCCTGTCCATGTTAAATGGTTTATTTAACACCCAGCTGTAAAAGTGATATCCTTGCATGAGTATGCGAGCCGTGCATAAAGCTATCTGGCCTTTGTGGTCAGTTCCCACCACTATCACTTTCAAATACTTACCTGTCCAGTCACTCTTTTATCAGCGGAAACATTTGTTTGCTGTGAACTGTGGACTGTGGGTGTGAAGAAGTAATTTGTTAGCTTATGTTGTGGGCCAGGGGCCTGGATATTGGCTTAAGTTATACACTGATCAGGCATAACATTATGACCACCTCCTTGTTTCTATGCTCATTGTCCATTTTATCAGCTCCACTTACTACATAGGTGCACTTTGTAGTTCTACAGTTACAGACTGTAGTCCATCTGTTTCTCTGCATACTTTGTTAGCCCCCTTTTACCCTGTTCTTCAGTGGTCAGGACCCCCATGGACCCTCACAGAGCAGGTACTATTTGGGTGGTGGATCATTCTCAGCACTGCAGTAACACTGACGTTGTGCTGGTACAAGTATATCAGACACAGCAGTGCTGCTGGAGTTTTTAAACACTGTGTCCACTCACTGTCCACTCTATCAGACACTCCTCCCTTGTCAGTCCACCTTGTAGATGTAAAGTCAGAGACGATAGCTCATCTGCTGCTGCACAGTTTGTGTTGGTCATCCTCTAGTCCTCAATCAGTGGTCACAGGTTGCTTTTAGCTGGATATTTTTGGTTGGTGGACTATTCTCAGTCCAGCAGTGACACTGAGGTGTTTAAAAACTCCAGCAGCACTGCTGTGTCTGATCCACTCAGACCAGCACAACACACACTAACACACCACCACCACGTCAGTGTTACTGCAGTGCTGAGAATGATCCACCACCCACATAGTACCTGCTCTGTGAGGGTCCATGGGGGTCCTGACCACTGAAGAACAGGGTAAAAGGGGGCTAACAAAGTATCAGAGAAACAGATGGACTACAGTCCGTAACTGTAGAACTACAAAGTGCACCTATATAGTAAGTGGAGCTGATAAAATGGACAATGGAGGTGGTCATAATGTTATGCCTGACTGGTGTAAGTGTTCAGGCTTAATATTTTGCGTGATATTTTTTGACAATCATTATGCTTTTTTTTCCTGTTTATTGTAGAGCTAACTCTCCTGAATTCTGCTGTTCTTCCATTGAGCTCCGTCTACAGTACTTTGGATCTCCATCCCTTCATTGCCAATGGATGGCGTTGCAGTCGTAACTCCGCCTCAACTATCCAGACACCCTCCTGATTTCTCTCCTCACTGTCCAAATGAATCCTCGTCCATCAGACATCCACCTCCACCGCCCCCTGCCCCGGCTCCACCTCCACCACCTCCGCCGCCCCCACCCCCGCCCTGTGGGGGCGACCCTTTCTCTCGCACCGTCCACAGGCGTTCCAGGATGCGCAACTTCAACTGGGACACCATCCCCCGGCACAGCGTTGTGGGTAAACGCAACGTGTGGACGTCCCAGAGGAAGCTGGAGGACTTCCCGCTGGACACGGCGCGCATCGAGGAGCTGTTCAGCCACAGCGAGCAGCAGCGGGTGCCCCGAAGGGGTGGGACAGTCAAGAAGAGTGTATGGGGCCTTCCGTCAACCAATCGAGAATCAGAGACGGTTAGTACTGTATGCTGTCCCTGTTTTCTCAAGCGGGCAAGGCCCATTGCAAGGGACCGTGGCAGGTGTACAGTCATAAGGGTGTTGCATGATCATTGTGCTGCCAAACATTGAACAGCAGAATGTATGTTTGAAAGGTGGGGTCAGGCGTCAGCAGCATTGAATTGGTCAAAGTTGTTGAGTCAGGTAGAAGAATACTTCGTTTTTCAGCTTAATTTCTCTGAAGCGCTGCAATGACGTTACCACAGTCAGTCAATTCATCTATAATAGCACCTGTTGAAGCACCTGCCTGTTGGCAGCAGTGTGTTTGGAATCAATGTGTTTTCCTTTCTTTTAATAAGTACAAGAAAACCCATCAGAAAAACCTACCTGTTTTATACAGGTAGACCCAGAAGTCCAATGCCCAGTTATGTTAAAAGTATCTATTTTCATGCATTAGAATGGATGGGTTAGTACATTCATTGCTGGGAATGGTTTGGATTCAATCCAGATATGATAATTTTGGCCCACATTTAAAAATATAAATTTGTTGTAGTATTGGAACAAGTGAATTCAGGTGAGCGTAACTCTGACGCTCTTTTTCTAGTCGCCAAATAACTGTTGTAGGACATTGTTAATGGCAATGTGCTACACGTGTCTGTAAAAGTGTTCAGACATCCAGTCTAATGCTCAGTGGTCTGGTTCTGTTTCTTGAATCATAAAAAAGACTGCATGATAAGCTTTTAAACGGCTTCACTGGTGATTCTCGATTTAAAAGAGTCTGGAATTGGGTTTAATCTTGGTCTCGCAAGAAAGCCCATATATATCACTGTTGTTGGAAGAAAACCTTGTATCTCCAAAATGGTAACGTTACAGGAGAAGGAAAAAGCATACTTTACTTCTAATGTAAGTCAGGGGTGTCCAAAGTCCGCCCCCAGGGCCAAACGCGGCCCCCGGACATATTTTAATTGGCCCGTGGCAGTTCTTCCTTTTACCTGATGGTGGCAGCAGTGCTGTAAAATCACAGTGTAATGCGCCGCACTGCGGTAACGAAGTTAGCTAAAGTTTGAGTTTAAGTTTTAGACCTGCAGCTTCATTTACTGACCACTTTTAGTCCAGACTGCAGCCGTAAAGCTCAAACTAACTCTGAGAGCCGCAGATTTTGATGGAAACATGAACACTTTTTCATCGAGAGCTGCAACAAATGACACACACACACACACATATATATACACACACACACACATCTCAGAAGAAAACCTTGTATCTCTTGTATCCATATTTTTGTCGTTTTAGTTTTTGTATATATATTTTGAAAATACATGTTACCCTTTATATTGTATGTAAATTTCATGATGAGTTGACTGAAAGAAATGACCTAAAATGATTTGGAAAAAAATCTGGTTCCATTGACTTACATTAAAAGTAAAGTAGGTTTTTTCCTTCTTCTGTAAAGTTCTCATTTTGGAGGTACGAGGTTTTTTTCTGATAACAGAGAAATTGATTTTTGATGTTTTCTTTGCTAAAAATGTCTCGAAATCTGTGGAGCCCAATTAATATGCTGCACAGATTGATTCTATGTACATTCACACTTTAATATAACAGTGTAGCGAGCAGAGATCTAAAGGTTCAGCCAGAAATTTACGTTTTATCAGTACCGTAATCTCTAATTCACATTACACAGATACAGAGTACAGATACCAATTTATATAATCCAGTCTGTAGACCTAAATACTCGGTTTGGTGTAAGCTGTGTTGGAGCATTGTGTAAATAAGGGTATATAGGAGGAAGGTAGATGTAGCTTACAGTCACAGCTCCATCACAAGACCATAAAACTTTGCAAGCATCTTGTATACTTTAAATTTGATCCTGTCAAGACAATTAACACAATTTAAATGAAGTTTTTGTGTGTTTTTGTTTGAGTCTGTGGGAAGACTTTTTATCTGCAGAGCAGAAGTGCCTCTGACTGATAAATGATGGTAACAATGGAAACCAGTAAACTGTGTTTTCATGCATTTATTGTTGATTGTGTTGATCCTTATATGTTCCTACTTTTAACCAGTTGTACATGCTTTCAAAATCCCCCTTTTGCATAAGCTTCCATCTAACTCCAGATATTTGAATGACACCAATCCCTATCCACACTACACTCTCAGAAATAAAGGTACTAAACTGTCACTGGGGCTGGTTCCCTCAAGGGTCCATCTCAGTACCTTCAGTCAGGGAACATAACTGAACCATAATCCACTGAAATGATATGTTCTAAGCTGTACTGACTCCACACACCCCGTCTCGTCTCCAGGGTTTTATTTTACTGTTCTGTTTTAAAACATTCGGTTATGAAAAGGTACAAATACGAACTTTTCACCTGGAAAAACTTATTTAAGGTTCACAATCAGACCTTAAAACCACTGTTGGAGCTTTGAGGGAACATTTACACTGTTTGAACCTTGATGAATGAAACATGTACCTGAACAGAACCTTTATTTCTAACAGCACAGGCAGGGAAAATGTGCTGTACCAAAGGAATGATGTCAGCTTGCAGCAGTTGGCCCTGGACGCTGCTGTGTAATATCATTTGAATTTATCATTCAAAGTAAACAGCAGCTGTTTTAACCTTGTTAACTTTGTTTCTTTCTTTCTCCAACAGATCTCAATCGTCAACTCGAAGAAAAGTATGAATATTGGGATTTTCCTGAAGCAGTTTAAAAGGTGAGTTTTTGAACAGAAGTGAAGTTTTGAGACTTATTCGCTCTCCAGCTGTTTCCTGTCAGTGATGGACAGTAACTAAGTAAATGTAATTCATTACTGTACTTAAGTAGTTTTTTTAGTGTATCTGTGCTTTGCTGAAGTTTTTCCATTTTGGGCGACTTTTTACTTTCACTTCACTACATTTCAAAGTCAAATATCTCACTTTTTACTCCGCTACATTATGAGAAATCTGTCGTTTCTTTTGGTTTATGTGTGTATAAAAACGTAACGTCAAAACGAAAGAAGAGTGAAGCGAGAACACCAATCAGGGCACAGCGGTCACTTTGTTTTGAGCTTGTTTTGACCTGTTGGTCATACCGACCCAGTGCAGCACACGGTTCAACATCAGTGCAGCAGTGTAAAATTCTGGGAGGGTCATAACATAAATGATGAACTAACCTAACTTTGTGTAAACAGACCACAATATAGAAATATGTACACACATGCAGTTGTGACTGTCGTGTCTTTTTTCTGAATTTATACAAACACTATTTCATTTTATAGTAAATTTGTTTTGGCTAGTTTGTTTAAATTTAAACTAATTTTTAAGTAAGTAAATTTTTAAGTAAATTGTAACAAAGTTGCAAATAAATCTTAAACTGAAACTTTGCTTGTTTGTAAAAAGTGATTTGAGAGCCACTCAGTTCTACCTAATGGAAACTGTTTGCCTTCAGTGTTTTGTGCTGATGATCATTTTAATAAACATCAGCATCACTAATTAATGACTCTATTAAAAGACTGGTTTACCAAGAGAGACACTGGAGTATTTTCACCTAAAATGAGTTAATGAAGCGAGTCTTGTTATAAAAATGATAATAGGACATTAAAGTCATAATTAATCTTTTAGTACTTTTACTTTTGATACCTAAGTACATCTGAAGGCAAATACTTTAGTACTTTTACTCAAGTGGAGGTCTAAAGGGAGGAACTTCTACCTTTACTGGAATAATATTTTACCTTGGGTATCTCTACTTTAACTCTAGTACATGGTTTGTGTACTTCGTCCACCACTGTTTCCTGCACAGCTCTGGGGTGGTCAGTGCTGCAGGTTGCACAGCAGCCAGTTACTTACCTCATCTTAGGTGTGGCGCCTCCGTGGACCACAAGCATTGCCTGATAAGTGCTAATGCTTAATTGATGACCGATAAGAAGACAAGTTGTTTTCTTGTAGTTGTTGGAGATACGGCTAAAAATGTCTTGTAGCTCAGGAATAGTGCAGAAAAGAGTGTGGACGAATGCTAATCGTTCAGGCTGGTCTTCAGGGTGTTCCCTTCGAGGGAATACACTGTAAACTCAAACAATTGAGTTTACAGTGTATATTTGTGGATCTACATCCTCCACAGTGGAATTATTTGTCCTACAGTTAAACCTGTTTAGTTATGTATACACTTTAAGGATGCAGGATCAGAATTGGCAGATCTTTTCGCTTCGAACGTGATCAGTAATCCGCCAGTTTATTATTTTGGTCTTGGCCGATCTGTGTTGTGGTGTTATGATGTAAATACTGTTGTATGCAAATGTTTGGGCACCCCTGGTCAAATTACCCTGTTGATTTTCTAAGCGAAAATACTACACGTCCTCTACAGAGAACACAACTCAATTTCTTTCACGCAGAACTACTGTTTTGTTGGTTGAGTTTAACATATTAGAAGAAAAACATCACAAAAAATATGAAATGTGCCACATTTTATGTTTTATTTTTTCCCAATATGTAAAACTCAGCAATTAAATAGAAATTATGCACTAAAATTTGCACAAAAAATGCCATTTTTAATTGTTTCCTGTAGAGGATTCACGTTTTCACTTCAAATCAGTAAAACATGTCATTTGACCAGGAGTGCCTGAACTTTTGCATGTGATTTGTAATGTAATTGTGAGCCAGATAAGTGCACTTATGCTGTATTTAAGCAGTGCTGCTGCTACAGTTACAGTACTGTGAAAAAGTCAGAGACCACCCTTTCGTTTATTTAATTTCCAGTCAGAACTGCCATTATATAAAGCTATTAATTTTTCAGTGTCCAAACGTACATTTAAACGCCTCTGAAACTACACTATATGGCCAAAAGTTTGTGGACACCTGCTCATCCAATGTTTCTTCTGAAATCAAGAGTATCACAAAGGAGTTTGCCCCCCTCTGCTGCTGTAGTCGTCTCCACTCTTCGGACAAGGCTTTACACTAAATGTTGGAAATGTTCTGGGGATTTGATTGCAGTCAGCAGCGGGAGCACTAGTGAGATCATGTAGTGATGTTGGATGATTAGTTCTGGATCACAAACGCCACTCCAGCTCATCCCAAAGGAACTGGTTGGTGCCCTATCACTCTGGAGAACGTGGTTCCACTGCTCCACAGCTCAGTGCTGCACTGTAAAGCTTAATTGCACATCTTAACGAGAGAATTAAGCGAACACAACTTAAGCACTACTGAAAGTTGGAGTAACTTAATCTGAAAAAAATCAAACAACTCAAAACTGAAGTTGTTGAGATAGTAACTCATTCATTTTGAGATTCTAGCATATTTTGAGTTCGTTTAAAATGTATTAAACTCACTACTTTTATTTAAGTTGACTTCGCACACAAATACAGACAGGCCAATAAAATGTTGTTTTTAAAGACTTTAAAATTTAGTGGTTGGATTGTTTTCCCCTTTTCTAACTGTATATGCACACTTATAATGAATGAGAGACTGTTTACTCATTTTTTTAATCCTATTTTTAGAATTATGTACAGTAAAAGTGATGGTTGTCAAGCACATGAAATTGTCCTGATTAGGGGTGGGAATCTCTAGGCACCTCACGGTTCGATTCGATTACGATTCAGAAGCTGCGATGCGATTATAAAATGATTAGTGATGCATCTCGATACTTTTTATCTGTACACATTTCTTTTTTCTCACTGTCTAAGGACTTGGTACTTTTAAAGCAAAGTATTTGTGATGATCCATAATAAATTTACTTCCAATGTCTTTTATTAATAAATCAAATGGAAGTGATGTGGCCACTGAACTAGAAGACTCTCATTCACTGCTCTTGTTTGGAGCACATGAGACGCTGCTGCCACTCATCTGTGATAAAATGCAGTTACGGTGACATAAGACTCTGTGGCAGTGGATGTCCACACAGCACATGTTCGGTTTTGGTCTCGTTGTAGAGAGTCGGGGGGGTCACTGTGTCAGTAAAATGACATGAAGCTGTATTTTGGTTCTAAAGTGTGCAACATAGCGCAAAAGCCCAGGTTCTCAGCGACTGTGTACAGACGCAAGGTCCCTTTTCCCCTGGCGTGCAGACTGCATGTCACCTAGCAACGCAGTCTCGCCTAGCTAGTAGCTAACGACAAGGCAAAGAGATTTAAGACAAACATTTGGAAATGAATGGACTTACTTGCATTTATAAGCAGCGCAGTTTGTTTCCTGGTACGTAAATCTGCAACGAGAGACTATCAGACAGTACAGTCGCGAAGATGAAGTCGCTTCCCTTTCGAATTTTCCCGGTCCACCTTAAATGTTGCCGCATTTACATTCTGGTGCCTCAGGTGACTTCAGCCTCATAAAACAGTGGAACATTGAGAGACATTTTACAAGAAACTGATCTACTTTTGAGGAAGAGTTTCTGGTGGAGATGGGAGGAAAGCGGCTATAACTAAAGCTGAAAGCAGAGCGAAGTAAATCTGAGTTTTCGTTTATATTTTTTAACCTATACTAGACCATCAGCACATACTGAGACATACTGGACATTGAGTGTTGTGGCTCCCAAGGTGGTTTGATTTTTGTTGAAAGGACAAAATGGCTCTTAACATTTGTGTTGTGACTCCTGATCTAACCTGGCTTTAACGCAGAGGGAGCCGGTCGGATTTCTCGCTCATATGGTTGTGTTTTTGTTATTTGCCGCCACAGACTGTCCGGGCGCTGCACTTCCTCACTTCTGTCAACATTACGTTATCAATTAAATATTTAGAAAATCGATTTTTGACATTTGTGAATCGATTCAGAATCGTCCACGTCCGCATCGCGATGCATCTAAGAATCGATTTCCCCCCCCCCAGTCCTGATGCCTATCAAGAGCAGCTGGTCGCCTCAGCCAAAGCGGAATATGTTCTAATATTTTTAGCTAAAATATCAGTTGCAGTGGTTGAGCTGTTGGAGTTTCTATATCAGTGAATTTATCTGATGGACAACATAAATATTTAATATTTATGAATATATTAATAATATATATTATGTGAATAATACATTTAAAATATATTATTTATTTATTTTATTTTATTCTTTTTGGATGATTTCAGACAATCAGATGGGATCTTTGAGCTGAATAAACTTTTTGCAGTTTGGTTTAGACTCAGCTTTACTTATTAAATGTTCAGTCAATGCAACTTTCCTTAGTAAACCTCACATTGTTCCTTTTGGCTCTTGACACCATATATTTGCATATTGGGCTCCTCTTTCCACCCTTTGCACACTTTGTTTACCCTGCTGCCTCTGTGTCATCACTCTCCTCAGCCTACCTTCCTTTGGGTGTGTAGTTGTTTTCTAATTTTTTGTACCTCATCTCAGTCAGTACTGATTGAAAATCAGTTTTGAGAGAAAGCTGAGTTACCAGGTTCCCACCTGCTGAGGTGAGTGCGGTTCTGTGGTGGAAAAACTGTACAGAGACTGTTTCTTCACTCTGGGCTGAACTGTCAGCATTTCGCAAGATGGAGTAACATTAAGTTGGTTGAGACATTGTTGACATTGTCTATTATTATCAAGTCTCTGCAATACAATATGAATTTGTTACAATGATGGCCTCGTTTAACCTAGCAGTGCATTTTATTTACAGTTACTTAAGGGTCATTCTACAGAAACTTTTCTGTCTATCCATAGGAGTCACTGGTGTTACTGATTCTCATTGGTGTTACACGTAATAAAGGGAACACCAGAGACATTTTTAATGAACAATACATTTTACAAAACGGCTGCTACAGAACATCAAACCACATGTTGTTGTCAATCATGGAATATCCACTAAAATATGGAATTTAATCCATTTGTATTCTATTTTTTCACAATTACCTAAGAATAAAGTCGGTCACACCAGTGACTTCAGCTAAAAGCTTCATATGCAATCATGAGCTAAATGAGAAAATCTCTGATAACTGAAAGACACAGTGGACTCACCATGAGCTTTTCTTCATAGATCCTGATGTCGTCAGTGTGATTCTTATTTTAAAATATGAGATTTTTTTGTTTTTTGTTGCAGTAACACCAGTGACACGACTCCTGGGGACAACAACTTTCATTATATATTTTAAAACATTTATTTGGCATTTGTTTTCTTTGTCATTTAATACATATATTCCATAGTCATGTGTAGATTATTGTAGTTAAAATTGCAGAAAAATGTTTATTTATTTATTTAATTATTTTTTTTTACCTCAAAATATGGCCTCAGCCTTCACACATGACTGTGAGGACGAGCTCTTCTGTGGTGCTTGGAATTCTAGATAATCGATTTAAAAACCAATATTGCTAAATTGAGGCTCAAGAAGGTGTAATAATACTTATAACTTATTGTTTTATTTGAAAATGTATGTAACCCTAACATGTTATTTAAGTGTAATATATCTGTAAATGCTAGGGACACAAAAATGGACATTTCTATAGAATGACCCTTAATTGTATTGAGTTAGTACAACAATTACATTACATTTATGGCATTTGGCAGACGCTCTTATCCAGAGCGACTTACAATTTTTCATTTTTACACAGGTAGGCGAAGGCAGTGTTAGGAGTCTTGCCCAAGGACTCTTATTGGTATAGTGTAGGGTGCTGACCCAGGCCGGGGACTGAACCCCAGTCTACAGCGTAGAAGGCAGAGGTGTTACCCACTACACTATACCAACCACTAACATAATTACATATAAGTCCAAAATACTCAATTGTTTTACGATAAACAAACTTTGAATTTACTTGAGTGTTTACAACAGTAAACATATGTTTTGTTCATACTCAGTTCAGAGAATTTTTTTTGTGGCCAAATTAATTGCGTTACTTAAATGGTTTAAGGTGGTTTGAGGAAGCCAAACTATTTGAGCTGACATACTCATCAGGTTTTACAGTGTGGGGGGCTTTATACCCCTCTAGTCTACGCTTGGCATTGAATGTAGTGACCCTAGGCTCATGTGTGGCTGCTCCAGAGCATCCTGTTCTAGTGTCAGTGTATTTCTGTGGAGATTATACAAGCTGTGCATGCATTTGAACTGCATTTGTCAGCAGTGAGTGTGCCTTAATATAGCTGAATTCACCAACAGAAGGGGTGTTCTTCAGTGGTCAGGACCCCCATGGACCCTGACAGAGCAGGTACTCTTTGGGTGGTGGATCATTCTCAGCACTGCAGTAACACTGACGTGGTGGTGGTGGTGTGTTAGTGTGTGTTGTGCTGGTCTGAGTGGATCAGACACAGCAGTGCTGCTGGAGTTTTTAAACACTGTGTCCGCTCACTGTCCACTCTATTAGACACTCCTACCTTGTCAGTCCACCTTGTAGATATAAAGTCAGAGACGATAGCTCATCTGCTGGTGTTGGTCATCCTCTAGTCCTTAATTAGTGGTCACAGGACGCTGCCCACAGGACTGCAGCAGCACTGCTGTGTCTGATCCACTCAGACCAGCGCAACACACACTAACACACCACCACCACATCAGTGTTACTGCAGTGCTGAGAATGATCCACCACCCAAATAGTACCTGCTCTGTGAGGGTCCATGGGGGTCCTGACCACTGAAGAACAGGGTGAAAGGGGGCTAACAAAGTATCAGAGAAACAGATGGACTACAGTCTGTAACTGTAGAACTACAAAGTGCACCTATATAGTAAGTGGAGCTGATAAAATGGACAGTGAGCGTAGAAACAAGGAGGTGGTCAGAATGTTATGCCTGATCGGTATATGTAGAGAAAATGGGACAACCATGAAAGACCTGGTAGACCACTGAAACTGCCACCATCGGGTAAACAGTCCTTAAAATCGTAAAAATTCATGAGTGGCGAATCCCTGATGCATATGGATCCACATGAGTTCAAGAGTGAATGTTTGCTCTGTGTTGTTGAAGCCCTTAGCACTGCAGTGCTTCCTGAGCTGAGCTGAGCTGAGCTGAGCTAGGTTATGCTCTGTGTGCTCATGCACTTCTATGGAGTGATGCTTACTGTACTGAGTGGAGTTTAAACAGCGAGAATGGAAAAACAGTGTAATGTTTGCCAACTGTTATTTGTCTGGTTATGCATAGCCTTGATTCCTTGGTGACGCCATCAAATTGCATAGTTTTCAAATAGACACATTATGAAACTCAGGACAGCAGCAGTTTATAATGATGTTAGTCACTGATTTTGTAAACTTCAAAATGAAAGAGAAGGTAGAAATTCTTTCATATTCCCATGAGGGGAAACCGGTTATCAGAATGTGTGGGTGGACACTAGTTCTCGAGAAAACACTTCGCTTTATTTGATTTGAAGTGTTTTATCACAAAACGCATTATAGACCACTTTCAAGAATTCTTTGGTTTGGTTTGTTGGTCTTGGGCTTTACACATGCAAGAAATATTAATGCTATTTTATGATTAATATTACCTTTATTGGAGAAATAAATGTTTTCCATTATGTCAGATGTTTTTCTTTTGAAAAACTTGTCATATCTGAAATTGTTGCAAATGTATATCACTGCTGTCAGAAGAAAACCTTGTATCTCCAAATTGGTAACTTTACAGGAGAAGGAAAAAACCTACTTTACTTTTAATGTAAGTCAATGGAACCAGACTTTTTTTTTCTAAGTAATTTTGGGGCATTTCTTTTAGTCCATTCAGTGTGAAATTTTGAGACAATGCAAAGGGCAACAGGCACTTTCTAATTATGTCAAAAACTGAAAAATGACAAATGGAGAAACAGCAGCGAAATACAGCATTTTGAAATAAAACACTTTTTTTTAATATGTTTCTTTGACATGGTCAGTACACACTAATCAACATCAGTGAGTGCGTTTTACATGCACTTAATGTCCGATAACTGCAGAAAATCAGATTTTGTAAGTAATCTGATCAAGCACGTGAGTAATCAGATAATGGGCAAACTCTGGGTCTACATGAGTCAGACAGTAATCCGATTTCTGCTTTACAACCAGCCAATAAACTCACAGGAGAAGACGTTATGTAAACGTAAACTCGAAATTCATGCTGCAGCTTTAAAAACAAAAAATCGCACCACTTTACCTGAAAATATGATCATACATCATCTAGAAAATGAAGAATATGTAAATCCCTCGCATGTAGTCGGTTTCAGCGTCACTCCAAAAGTGTTTTGCTGCTTCTCGCGGCGATGCTCCTCGCTTATTTCCGGTCTGTTTTCGCACATGAGCAGACTGAGAAATCCAAAAGAAATCAGAGTAAGAGTTCACATGCACTGAGAAATCTGAATAGTGAGCCAAAATCCAGCCTCTTTATCAGATTTCTTAATCGGATTTCTAGATAGGACTATGGTGTTTACATACATGACCATTTGAATGATCAGATAACTGCTGAAATCTGATTGTGATCGGATTATTGAGTGCATGTAAACACACACTCATTGTACCCATATGTGATGTAAGATGTAACCAAATGGCTGATTTTGTCTGCCGTCCCAGGCCAGGTTGATCTTTGATCTTCTTGGAATTATCCTATAATCTTAACTTAAAATCAAAATGGACCTTTTCTCTTTTTATTTTTACTCTTTTAGTTCATGCTACTGATCATTTAAGCCCGGTTCATTATACATCAACAAAATTCTTTTTTTTTACCTAAGTGACCAGATTTATCAGCATCTTTAAGCCAAGAAGTTTCCAAAATCTAGACTGGTGATTGCTGTTTGAATGATTCTTTGTATGTATTAACACTAGTCTAGTAGAGTCTGCAGTTCATTGTGGTTAGTAAATATGCCACCTTTCAGCAACTCAATCATTTCTGGCTTAAGCCATGCCCATTCAGTTTGTAAATTAAAATGTGGTATCAAAAAAAAATCATTCAGGAATTTATATTGGTCGAGGTATAGATACTCCTTTACAGGTTCCTTATATTAACAAGAATTCTGACCAATACCCAGCCCTACCTGTAACCTTCCCTCAACATGTATGAGTGTGAGCACTAGAACTAGGCAGCGCTGCCTTATACAACTGTCTGATTAAAAGGCAAAGAAGTTACACAGTCATAATTATTTGTGCTTTGGTGCCCCCTGCAGGCCGATGCAAGAAATCGTCGAGGATGTACGGCAGGGGAACATGCGGTTTGCTGCTGGAAGATTGAAAGAGCTGAGCAAGCTGCTGCCTGACGATGTGGAGGTGAACTGTGCAGTGCAGCCCCAAGATCATGTAGCAGTGTTTAAACTGAGCTTATTAGGAACACACAGTGCTTTTTTCTAACATTGTCCAGTCATTCCTATTTTGCATGCAGTTAAGGCTCATAAACTTGTTTACCTGCTTCTTTTTCCAGTAAATGACTGTATTTTTTAAAGGCTACGCAAGTCCATTTTTGTTGTTTGGCCTTTTTTTAAAAAAAAACATTTGACTATAAATATAATCAGTGGCATCTCTACATTAGGGGCTCGCTGCATGACATGATCAATAATTCAGTATTTATTATATATTTACAGTATTTATTTTTATATTTATAATATTGTATTCCTGTTCCTGTTGTGTAAAAGCCTTCAGTCTTCTTTAGGTGAGCTTGGGGCCCTTCAGTGTTCGTCTGACCAAGTGAGCCGTTAAAAACACTCTGCGCTTGTTCAACACGCTTTCAATAACCAGCTGTGGGGCCCGATCATGTTGGCCCCATGCTGAGAGCAACCAATAAAACATAATACATTTACATACGTCCAGATGTTTGAGTAAACATCGTTTTACGGTGTGGACGTTGTTATGCAGCTAGTCATTGTTCCTCATCAGTTGTGGAAGCCGCTCCTAATAGCAAGGCAAAATAATGATCCAAGTTTACATTGTAATAAAAGTTAAATTTGGTTCCAGCCATTAGAGCAGAAATTAGAGATTAAACGTTTGGGACGACACCAGCCAGAGGATTTCAACACCATTCAGTCTGGAAAGGACAAAAACTGCTCCTTCGGTCCAGAGAGGTTCAAGAGAAAAACATGGCTAACTGTGAGTGTAGCTAAAAACACTCTCCCGCTTTCCTTGCCTGCCCTTGCTCTGCTATCACTCTAATTCATTCATGGATTGGTGAACTTTGAAAGAGAAGTTTTGGACATGTTTGCCCAAATGAAAGATCGTTGTGCATCTTTTCAAGCAGTGAACATCACTAGTGAGTCATTCTGTGTTATTACAAGGCCTCTTATTCCCAATTCAGTGATTTGTAATGCGATGCTGTATAACCAGGTTCTGTGAGATCTAATGTCGGTATCTTCCACCAATGATGGAGTGTGTTTGTGTTTGGATCAGGTTTATGTGTGGTTTTCTTGACGAGCCCCTACAGTTTATTGTGCCCCACCAGGCTTTCTGTGCCAGAGATGCCACTGAATATAATAATGACAATTAGTTTCTCCATTTCTGATTTTGTCCAGTAACAGTTACAATATATGCTTGTGTTTATGTTCCAGTTGAAGAAACTGTTGTCATTCAGTGGTGATGTGTCCCAGCTGGCAGAGGCTGACCGCTTCTTGCTGATGCTGGTCAAAATTCCAGGGTGAGTTTTGCAGTAATGGACACTGAAGCACAACGTGTTTTTTTTGTTTGAATTTTGTATTTATTAGTTTGGTGGCTCTCAACCTTGTCCTGAAGTGCCGTAGACTACTGACTATTTTAACAAGGTCTTGTTCAATTAGTATTTCATATACGTTGGTTCAGGTGTTCAAGGGATATTTCAGAAGATTGAACCACTGCATTAGAATAGGAAAAGCCCTACATTTATCAAATGAGACTCTGGACAGTGAGATGTTTTGCGTGGTGTTTCCAGGTATGAAGAACGACTCGAGAGTCTGCTGCTCAGGGAAGAATTCAGCCCCTTCATAGAGGAGGCAACAAACTCCATTGCTGTCATGACTGAAGCAGCTGATGGTACTTTTCCCCTCTATTCTTCTGTTCTTGCTTTCTACTACTGGTTGGAACGACTAACCCAAAATGGTGTTTTTCTACTATTCAGACCGAATTATGAAAAGAATTATGATCCTGATTATGACCAAAGTTGATCTTGCCTTCTGTTTTTTTTTTTCCTGTGATCTTCCAGAGCTGCTGACATGTGATGATCTTCATTCTATCATTCGACTTGTGCTGAAAGCTGGAAACTACATGAATGCTGTGAGTGTGGGCTGTGTAGCTCCGCCTTAATCACTACTACTTAATTCTGTTAAGCTAATTAATTCTGTTGGTCTAGGTGTTCTGAACCTATTATAACAGAAAGAATGAACACTATTTTCAGAAATTCATTCCAGGAGGTCGTGATGTGTTCTGGGCTTTGCATTTCATCTTTTCTTTATTTTTATTTTTGTATTTTTTTGAGGGGAAACATTCAAAAGCATGCAATGACAACGCAGAAGTCCATGCATGTGGACTTCTGCGTTGTCATTGCATGGGGGGGGGTACTCACTCACGTATCTCTACAAACTCTGCTTTTACAGACTTGAAATAGTAATACTGCTCTCTTTTTCCCATTTTTCTTTTATATATTCTGTCGAACTTTCTTAACCATTAGGCCTTTGTACATTTTAGATATGATTCCTTTTGCATGTCATCTTTTCATCTGAAAAAATTGTTTCCATTTGTTCAGGGTGGCTACGCTGGTCGTGCTATAGGTTTCAGGATGACTTCTCTGCTGAGGCTGGTGGACACAAAAGCTAATAAACCTGGTCTGAACCTTATGCACTATGTGGCAATGGTAATATTTCTGAAAGAAGTTTATGTACAGGGTGATTCAAAAAGATTCATCCGATTTCAATGATTTATTTCACTTGTAAATCATTACAGATCAATGCAGTGAACTGTAAATGGTTTAAATGAGCATAAAGTTTATATAATGTTATAAGTGCTCAGTATGAACCTCCTCCAGCTGTACAGACAACATCAACTCCATAGTCAAACTCATCCCATACTGGATTGAGCATGTCGGGTTGTCGCTGCACTCACGGCTCTTTCAGTGCGATTTCGGAGATCATCCAGTGTTGTGGAACCAACGACGAACGCTCTGAGCTGTTGGAGCTTCACTGCCCACGAAAATCACACTGCGCAGTTATGACGGATTCACTCTTATTGAAGTGGAGAACGCAGAACGCTTTCTGCTCAGGGGTCTCATCTCCTCTCAGACTGAAGGAGCCATCTTCCTCTGACAGTCAGAAACTCTATGACCCCCTCTTTCAGTTGGATTGTGATTGGTTCCTAGGCGCCTCACGGTTGTAAAAATATGGCGCTTTGAAATCGGATTAATCTTTTTGAATCACCTGTATCTGGTAATTCGAGTACATTTTACTCTCTTTGTATCTTTACCTGCTTTCCTTTGTCGCCCTCTTTCAACCACAGCAAGCTCAGCAGATTGACAGTGCCTTACTGAACTTTCCAAAGCAGCTCCAACACATTGGAGAAGCTTCAAGGTAACTTTTACATTGGTTTAATTCAGTGTTATAATAAGCAGAAATATGCATCTGTCTCCACACATCTTGTATATTTTCTGCAGGATCCAGAAACAAGAAGTGGAGGCAGACGTTCAAAGAGAAATGGAGAAAATTAAAAAAGCGAGGGACTATTCCAGTAAACAGCCTGATCTCCAGTGTCAAATGGAGGAATTTCTCAGGGTGAGACTGGCCTGTTTGACACATGCAGTACTCCTAACACGAAATCTGAGTTGAGTAGGTGGTTGCATAATTTTGCACTTTGTGCAGATGGCTGAAAGTCGGCTTGCGGACATGGAGGCCTCTCTGCAAACGCTCAATTCTATCAGTCACTCAGTGGCCGAATACTTCTGTGAAGATCCTGCTACCTTCAAACTGGAGGAGTGCTGCTCCATCTTCCGCTCCTTCTGTGAGAAGTTCGAGAAAGCTGTACAGGTGATTTAAAATAAATTAATTTATATATTTATTTAAGTTTTGTCTGTTGATCTAAACCTGTTGAACTAAGGCAGCTAATATCATTTTTCTGTTTATAGAAAAAGTCATGAAGTGCTGGAAGTGCTAGGATAACCTCAGTAAAATAGATGGCAAAATTAATGAGCTTTTCCAACTAAAATGTTAGAATAGACGAGAAGAGCCATGTTTTGCATGCTGTGACACTACTTTGCTCATAATGCGACTGGGTGTTTACAGTATGATGCCTTACCCTGGTCCCTGGATGTCATTTAAAAAAAAAGAATCAAAGTTTTCAAAATTTCTGCATAATTCAGTTGTTGAGATGTAAACATTGTCCAGTGTGGTTTGATGTGAAATGGTTTATTGTAAAGAAACTTACTGACTGATTTTTGTGCAGAGCAGCTTTACAGAAAAATCCGGGTCCGAGCCCCCATGAGCGTCGCCAATGGCGACAGTGGCAAGGAAAAACTCCCTAAGAGCAACAGGAAGAAACCTTGAGAGGAACCAAGACTCAAAAGGGGAACCCATCCTCCTCTGGTCGTTCACCGGATAGCAAACAGCGTTAGAATAAAAATATTATAATACAAAATGGGGGGAAAAACAGGTGGAGCAATGGTTAATTAAATAGTTTGAGTTTATGCAGCAGCAGCAGGAGGGTCAGATCATGCAGGTGAGGTTTGCACAGCGTTGTACAGCATGAAGCTCCATGGTGGTCAAAACGGTGCAGATCAGCCAACAGAGATGGGGCTCTGGTGACTCTAGCAGCTCTGGTGGTTTACATATGGCGACTCGGGCAAATGTCGCTCAGGGGCTCAAATAAAGGGAGAGAGAGAGAGACAGAGAAATTGAATAACAGAAATGTGTAATATGTGTAATGTTGATGGTTAATGGAGATAAATGTAAAAAAAAAATGTCGTTTGACTACTATGACTCGGGCATCAGGCACGATATTGAAAACTATTTTGTGTGATTTGCTTTGTTAGTTGAGTCTTTTAAAGGCATTGAACACTGACGCTGGTTCATTTCGCCACCTCTGTGAACAGTTTTTCCTCAGTAAGTATCTTCAGAATGTCACATTTCATAACAAACTACTCTGCATGTTTACATTCTAACAACTGAATTAGGCAGAAACTAAAAATGGCACAAATAATAAACCTCAATTATAAAGGACAAAAATGTTGGCTAATATAATATATACAATATCTATCAGAGATTTTTTTTTCCTTCAAACATGACTAAGCTTTCAAATGAGCTACTATTAATTGGAGATAATAATTTACATTGTTTAAGACAGCAAGGATACATCTTTGAACGAAGTACCATTCCAAATGCAAGTTAAAAACAAGAAGCAGTGATCTGTAAACTCATATCTGTATTTAAATGGAAACAGTACAGGCAGAAGATATTTAATATTTCGTCTCATCAGCTGCATTATTTATTTATTTATTTATTTATTTATTTATTTATTTATACTCGATTGAGCATGTCGGGTGTCACTGCACTCACGGCTCTTTCAGTGCGATTTCGGAGATTGTCCAGTCTTGTTGGGAGTGGCACATAAACAGAATCCTCAACGTACCCCCACAAAAAAAGTCACACGGCGTGAGATCTGGTGATGCTGGTGACCTTTTTCTTGGATCTGTTGGTACCAAAGGCAAATGCTCTGAGCTGTTGGAGGTTCACTGCCATACTGACACTCAGAAACTCTATGACCCCCTCTTTCAGTTGGATTGTGATTGGTTCCTAAGCGCGTCACGGTTGTAAAAATATGGCACTTTGAATTCGGATTAATCTTTTTAAGTCACCCTGTATATGAGTGAAATTCTAACTTCTCCACTCACGTGTGTTGAACAGGAGAACGGTGAGCGGGAGGCAGTGGAGAAGCGGCGGCGGCAGCAGAGGGAGAGGGAGGCGCTGAAGCGGGTAGCCAAACGCCGCTCCATTGGCACCTGCTCCAGCCGCGACTCTGATGCCGAGGCTTCGGCCCTGGAGTCTATCTTGACCAGCTTCCTCGCTGACCGTCCTGCACGCAGGAGGCAGCATTCATCCAACAGAGAAAGCCCGACAGATCTGCTCAACAGTAAGAACCCTCTGACGGAGACCTCGCAGATAGCCCTAGATAGCCCTGCCAAAACTGAGAAGAAGGTATTAGACATTTCAGATAGTAAACAGCTCCGGGAACTGGACCAGAGCTTTCAGACCAAAGAGGAGATACCCACTGCTGTGGACCATCAACAGACACCAGCTGGCTTAAGGAGAGGGCCATACATAGACAACAAGGGGACTCCTAAAAGCATCGACCGCAAGGCAAGTTGCCGCAAGAGCATTCTAACTCCGCGAAACCCTGTCTTGTCTGAAGAAGAGGGCATTGACCAAGAGAGAGATGTCCAAGAGAATAGTCAAAAGGAGCCAGCTCAGGTCCCTGAGGCTTCTCGAAAGGTTCTGCGGCACCAGAATAGCCGTGGCAGTCTGAAAGGAGACCCTGCTCCAGAACGCCCTAGAACTTACTTAGATACTTTCTCATCTCCTGTCCACAAAGGGATGCGGGAGGTGGAACTGCACAACGGCCTCGAGTGCCTGGGCTCGCCCTGGACCGTCCTCAGCCCCCACGTCTCTCCCAGAAGCACGCCCCACCGTAGGCACTCCTTCACCCCAGCCACCAGGGACGAAGAACTGGATGACGGCGTGTGGGCGCTCCCAGACACGCCTGTACATGGCAAGCCCCCTCCTCTAGCGCACGTGTGCCGGTCGTATGAGCACAGTGTATCTACCTCTGTGCTCACCAATACAGGAGTAAGAGCTTCTCACTTACTGGACTGTCCCTCAAGTGCCCCTCTGTTAAGGTCTGCGTCCGTGGGCTCAGAAGCCCCAAATTCAGCCCCTGGCTTCAATCTGGGGGTTCTCTTCCAGAGAAGAAGCAGCCAAGAGCCTCCGCTGACCAAAAGGCAGGAGCCCTCCGCCCTGGTCACCTTCTTCAGGCGCTTTGGGGAGAGAGGAAGGCCTGCCTCTGTAGGTGACTCCCACAGAGCAGACGCTTAGATGCCGAGAAACTGGAAACTTGCTTTGTTTTACATTTGACTTTTTAGAGTTTTACTGTCGTGGAATCGCACAGACCTCTGTTTCACAATGAACACTGTGGGCCAAGACAAATATGGACTTGTTTTGGGATGTGACCATGGTCTCATTAGTGAATCCTGTATGCAAAATTGTGTATTATTTATTTGTTCTTGTTTTTCTTAACTTTTTATGGTGATATTTTTAAAGCCTCTTGTACAGTTTACATGTAAAAGGGGTACAAGCACTATTTACTCCTGTGTTTCCTTAAGGGCACTCTATATATTTTAATGTAATAAAGTGTGGTTTTCCACATTAACTTATCTTATTTGAGTTATGTTTTCCCATGACTTTTACCATATTTTACCTACGGTTAGATATTTTGAAGTTTCATATACCACACGATGCCAAATGCTGAAAGGTTTTATTTTATTTTTTTTAACGGATGGTAATTTTTAAAGCATGATAGTTGAGAAACGATCTCCATTTAAGATAATATTTAGGCTTTATCTTCCATGAATATACTAATATGTCTTTGGAGTGCTTTAACAGGGCCGGGTGGTCATCTGTACCAGTATACCATAATATTGACATACCAAGATATTGCTTTTCATTTTTAGTGGTGTATCAGTTCCCATGATGTAATTCCCATAAAGCAGTGGTGTTCCTGTTGCTAAGCGGTTTATTTTTAGCTTTTTTTAAATTATGTTTTGAGCACTTTACTTATGGAAACTTGGACCTCATAGTTAAAGAGGAAATTCCACGTTTTTCAGGTTTTTAATATAAAATGGTTCATTGTAGAGAAACCTGTTGACTCTGGTTTCTTTACAGTGGTGGTGATGGGAATCAGGGGGTCGCGATATCTACAATGCTAATATAGCCATTTTATTGATTACCCAAAATGACCAGTGAATCTACACATCTTCTGTGTCTTAATGTTTAGATGTAATGTTGATAATAGTGAAATCATGGTGTTTTTAGTATCAGCTTATTAAAATATCCGAGAAAATATATTTGATTTGGGGACTGTTGCCTTACCACATCCTTCGTGTACCATAAAACCATGACTGGAGTTAAAATATAAAACAAAACAAAAAAATTTTAGTCCAAAAGCTTACGTCAACACTATTGTAAAAGCGTCTCACTATGTATGACTTTGTGAGGGAGCTTTTAGAGTCATTAAACACATCAGACGTCTGGTTCCTATCACCACCACTATGAACAGTTCTGACTCCGAATGATATTTCAAATATTATGAAGAAATTTAGAAAAACTGGTGGAATTCCTGTTTAACTGTACTCTGTCATTCACTGGTTGCTTCAAATTGCTTTAAAAGAACAGTTTAAAATCCATAAAAATGGTAAGTTTGCTTTCTCAATCTGTTTTCTGTTTGGTTAACGTTAAAATTCTGTGTACGAATGTGATTTTAAGTTAAGAAAATAGAACGAAAAACCCAGTCAAAACAAGATATTAGGTTTGTGGGACATTCTAGTGTAGCATCGGTGTTCAGGAAGCTTGGATTTGATAGGCCACTGTAGTTGTGCGTCATTCTGTAGTCCTTGTTATGCCCATATTAGGAATTGCGGGTCTGGGCTCCATTTCTCTATGGCCAGAATGAATAAGGTTTTCGAAAAATCGCCTCTATCGCCCCCTGTGTTAAATACAAATGTTCAGAAGATACATTCTGTCCTGTGAACATTCCTCTCTCCTGGATCCCCTGAATCACAAGGTCGTTAAAGAGTTGAAATATGAATATTGCTACATGTGAGCTAAAGCTACTGCGCTCTGAATTCACGTCATTAGACTGACAGCCTCCTTAATCAGATTATCACCCCATTATTATTTTAATACTGCTAACATTTTTCTGAGGACATTTTCTCAGGACATTCGCCAGCTTTTTGTTCGACTTTTCCCGTTCCACCTTAAGTGGTGCAGCGGCCACGTTCTGAACTGCTGCGCCATTTAAGGTGGAACGGGGAAATTAGAACAAACAGCCGGAGAAAAAGAAGCTGAGATCAGCTTCATGGAGGGTTGAAAGGCCTGATATGAGGAGGTTTCGCTATTAATGCTTAACAGCTGAGTAACATTAATTCGTTTGCTGGTCAGTATTTAGTCTCATTTGCTAATGTTTGTGATAGCTAGTCACAGCTGCTGCACCATTTAAGGTGGAACGAGAACATTCAAACAAGAAGCTGCGAAAAAAGGAAGCTAAATTCAGCCTCGTAGTTTTAATGCTGGTAGTATTTTTGATGAGTTTTAGTTTATCAAAATATCCCACCCAGAGGTTTTATTTACAGGTATTCCTGTAAATATGCACTATGGTAGAACATTTCGATAAGGTAGCGCAGCTCGTCGGAGCACCGCCACAGCCCGCCTTAGTTTCGTTTAGCTCAGTGACATCAAATTGATGCACAGTAGCTTTAGCTCACATGTAGCAGTATTAGTATTATAGCTCTTTAACGACCTCGTAATTCCGAGGATCCAGTGGTGTTCGGGAGAAAACTGTTCGCAGGACAGAACGTATCGGGTTCTGAACATTTGTATTTAACACGGGGTGATTTTTGGAAAACGCTATTCATTCTGGCCATAGAGAAATGGAGCTCAGACCCGGAATTCCTAATATGGGCATAACGAGGACTACTGAATGAAGCACGACTACAGTGGACTATTGACAGATAATTGCTACCAAAAATTTGGCAGCATTGAACCGATGTTTAGATTTGAATGATAGACCGATATTTAATGACTTGTTTAATGTAATCTAGAGGAGCAGAACACTGTGCTATGTTTTATTTTTTGTTTATATTTTATTTTAAGCCTATAGGAATTAGCATATATGTAATGGCTACTCAAGGTAGATTTAGCTTTACATTCTAATTAATGTTCATGTAGCGGCAGATATAGGCAAAAATATCAGCATCAGCACACAATTCTTATATCAGTGCTTCACTAATGGATTCGTTAACTTAATGTAAATATTGTCCATTACTGTGGTACCATGAAATATTGTGATGTTGACTTTTAGCAATATCGCCCAGGACTGTCCTCAAAGGCATGTCGTTTGTGAGCCTTTGCTTTGTTTTAGTGAGCACAGAAAGCAGCAGGACTCCATGTTCTTTCTCCCAGACAGAATCTTGCTGATGTGGCCTGATATATAGCCCAATATGTCCAGTGTTCCTTCCACCACCTATTATTTCTGTTTCAGGCCTCTCTCTCTCTCCGAGATGGATTGGGGTGGAATCTGAGGGCATTCGCCCTGTTGCCTAGGAAATGGTGTTGTTTACAGCGTGCTGTCATTTGGCCAGGGTCACAGTGAAATAATACCCCCTTGGAAAAAAAAGTCCCAGCACAGACTCTTCTTTCATGCAGGACCGGTGCCTGCCCAGCTCCACAACACAGCCACAGGCCACTTCTGTTCCTCTGATGTGGTTTACCACAGAGCACTTACCAACACTTACGTATGACACTGCCGGTGCATTAGAGTGGTTCTTTTTATGATTATTGCTGTTATTATTGTTTTTTTTTAATCATAATTGCTGTAAACAAAAGGCTGCTGTGTTTGTAGCAAAGACAGTCACCATTATATTGGAGAGAACTATATGGTGTCTGTTGTTGACCATGTGCAAGATTCAGGTGGACGGAATCAGGTTGTGTACATGAGCTTTTTAGTCTTGTGTGTGGTCACTAAATTCATCTGAACAAAACTCAGGGGCTCTGATCAACCGTGTGTGTGTGTGTGTGTGTGTGTGTGTGTGTGTGTGTCCATCAGGGGGTGGAGGCAGACAGGAGAGCTAGAGAGACACTTGAGCTGGAACGGAGAAGAACACACTTGAAGCACAGGATCACATGAGAAGGTGACTGGAGAGGCTTTGAGTGGAGCTCATACACCGTGAATGCACTACCTGTTGGAATCAAAGGTGAGTGAATTATTTTAATAATAATTATTGAATTTCTCATCTGATGCATGATGTCATGCTGTGAGGTGGGGATAAAATTTTACTTGAATTATGTGTTCAGGGTTGTATAAGGCGGTGGTTTGATGTCCATTTTGTTGATGAAGGACTTGAAGCTTTAGACCAACAGCAAGACGTGTAAATATCCATAATTCTGCACTGCCAAATTATTAATGCCTTTGCCGACCACAGGGCATGTTTATATGACACAAGATACAAAAAAAGCCAAATATGTAGCCCTGCATCAAAGTCAGAGAGCACCATTTTATTTACTTAACTTCAAGTTGAAACAAGTACAAAAAGATTCTTTTCATTTCTGAAGAGAGAGAGAGAGAGAGAGAGAGAGAGAGAGAGAGACATCAAAGGCAGGGGTGAAAAGAAAACGAGTGGAAAAAACACAAGTTTCCAAAACGTGATTAAAAGAAAATGAGACTCCTAACAACCTAATAGACAAAGAAAACTGCCCCCATCAGATAAACAGCACTTAAAGCTTTCATCTCTGAGAGAGAGGAGAAAATCAAGCTGCCTCAGATCTGAAAACATCCACAGGCGTTTCTGTCCATCCTTCCACTGTGAGAAGACGACTCAGCGCTGTGGGTCTGAAAGGATGAGTAGCTGTTCAAGAAGAACCTCACTGAGAAAAGGAGACGGACACATCAAACAAAGAAGCTGAACAATGGACTGACCACCCCAGAGTCCAGACCTCAACCACTGAATGTGTTTAAGATTGTTTGGGTTGTAAAAAACAGAAAATACAACCAACTTCTAAGACTGAACTTTGGAGATATAGAGCTGCAGATTTTGCAGATTTGCTGTAGCAATAAAGGCAAGTGTGGACGCACTAAATACCAAATAAAATCTTGATGATATTTTTTAGGTTTTTTGAAGTTCAAGAGGCTTTAATGTCTTTTCAGCTGTATACAATTAAACAGTGAAACGAAACAACATTCCTCCAGGACCAACACAGGAACACAAACGCAGACAGTTCAGTACAATAAATAAATATGAAAGACTTACAATGAATACAAAACA